TAAGTACTCACTACTCAGCGTCCACAACATATATACACATAGCACATTCATATATACTTGCTTACAATTGGTAAATGTGGTTGTGGCTAAGAGTTAAGATACTGACTAATAATAAAAAATAAAAAGAAAAAAACTGAAAATGGGGGCACCACCAAAATGAAGTGGACGAAATCCGTTGAGTTTTTAATTTTGGGTATAGGTAGGGGCATCACTTCGATTCATGACCCTCCCCTTGGAGTTTTCCTGGATCCGCCCCTGCCTTGTCGTTGCTTGGTTGTAAGGATTCTAATTTGAATTAGAGTTAATTCGGTTTAGAATTAATTAGATTCTAATTCGGGGGTACATAGTGCCCACTCTTCTTTGTTTCCAAGTATTATTTTGCGCCACAAATGAACGGCATGCGCCAGAAACGCGGCCAAATCTTGCGATTGCGAAGTTTCATTATTTTGGCGTCAGAGCCTGAAGCGAAAAATACAAGCATATTTATTTCAAAAAGACTTCAGGTTTGTCGAACGGTGTTATGAGAATTTTGATAACAGTACTGCATAAGTTTTTCAGTGAAGCCGCAAAAGTGTTGCATCTATCTTCTTTTATTGTGCAGTCGGCGGGACCGATTCAAAATTGAGTCGTTGCTACTAAAATAGCAGCATATGGCGTCAGATGATGAACAGGAAAAATAGTTGCGTAAATTTAGACATAAACCACCCCCAAACCATGAATATCTTTTGAAGGCACTATAGACGACCATTAACTAACTAGATGTGATGAAGATCAAATGTAAGGAATACGCTCATTTTACAAAATTACATGCAAGTACCAAAAAGTGATGTAAGTACTTATTCAACGGTCATTTTCAGCGCTCCCCGCTAACGTGACTTCAAGTTGAGATATTTGCGGCAAGGTACCGCATTGAGCAAAATTGTTTTAATTTACATTATAACTTGTTGTGTTTTGTCAGAAAATGGTCCTAACTCAGATTTTGTGGAAAAAGGCAGGGCGTATTTTAACATGTTAACTGGGTCGGCAATTGCCGACCCAGTCACGGAGAATGCCGACCCAGTGACAGCCGTTTGCCGACCCAGTTGCCGCCCCCTCTAGGATGCAGCACGCACATGCAGGCTAGGTGCCGTCATTCATGGTGAGGCTGCTGCCCTCCGAAATGATAATGCCGCCTCTTAAAGTGAAGCAGCCGTCTATAGAAAGTGATGATCCCGCAACTCAATGTGACAGTGCCGCCCCTAAATCTGTTAGTAGCCCAACTCAATGTACCTAATGGTGCCGCCCTTCTAAGCATCTGTGGAGCCCCGCAATGTGATGATACCGCCCCTCAAGAAGATGATGCCGCCCCTTTCAGTATCGGTGGCGCCCCTCAATGTGATGGTGCCGCCCTCAAAGTGCCGGTGGCGCCCCTGAATGTGATGGTGCTGCCCGCCAACGAGTCGGTGGCGCCCCTCAAAATGATGCTGCACCGCCCCTTAAAGTGTTGGCGCCGCCCCTTATAGTGTCAGTGACGCCTTTCGAAGTGTCGGAGGAACCCACCAATATAATGGTGCCGCCCCTCTTGGTATCCATATAGCCCCTCATTGTGATGGAGCCGCCCCTCAAGCAGACGATGCCGCCCCTCAAGAAGATGATGCCGCCCCTGAATGTGATGGTGCTGCCCGCCAACGAGTCGGTGGCGCCACTCAAAATGATGCTGCCGCCCCTTAAAGTGTTAGTGCCGCCCCTCATAGTGTCAGTGACGCTCTTCGGAGTGTCAGAGGAACCCACCAATATAATGGTGCCGCCCCTCTAGGTATCCACATCGCCCCTCATTGTGATGGAGCTGCCCCTCAAGCAGATGATGCCGCCCCTCAAGAAGATGATGCCGCCCCTTTCAGCATCGGTGGCGCCCCTCAATGTGATGGTGCCTCCCTCAAAGTGCCAGTGACGCCCCTAAATGTGATGGTGTCTCCTGTCAACGAGTCGGTGGCGGCCTTCAAAATGATGCTGCCGCCCCTAAAAGTGCTGGTGCCACCCATTACAGTGTCAGTGGCGCCCTTCAAAGTTTTGGAGGAACTCATCAATACAATGTTGCCGCCCTCTAACTTTCTGTAGCGTCCATCCATATACATAATGGTGCCGCTTCTCAAACCATCCGTGGCGCCCCTCAAAGTGATGGTGCCGACTCTTACAGTGTTGGTGGTGTCTCCTCAAAAGTCAAGGTGCCGCCTCTCAAAGAAATGCTGGTGTCCCTCGAAGTGTCGGAGGCGCTCCTCAATGTCATGTTGCCGCCCCTCAAACCTTCCGTAACACCCCTCAACGTCATGGTGCCGCCCCCCCCCCCCCAATGTGCTCACGGCGCCCTTAAATGTCATAGAAGCGCCGGTCCAAGTGATGACTGTGCTGCTGGCAGTGTCGGTGGCGCCCCTTATAGTGTCGGTGGCGCCCCGAACAGTATCGGTGGTGCCCCTCAAAGTGACCATGTCACCCTCAAACAAACAGTGGCGCCCTTCGAAGTATCGGAGTCCCTAAATATCATACCTATTGCCGCCCATTAACGATCTGTAGCGCCCCTCCATATGATGGAGCCGCCCCTTAAAGTATCCGCGGCGGTCCTTAAAGTTACAGTGCCGCCCCTTACAATGGGGTGGCGTCCTCAAAATAAAAGTGATGTTCCCCCCCCCCCCCGAGTAATGTTGGCGTCTCTTCTAAGTATCGGAGGCGCTCCTCATTGTCATTTTGCCCCACATCACTGCGCACATGGCGCCCTTCTATGTAATGGTGCCACCCCAACGCTCAAAGAGATAATTGCGCTTCTCACAGTGTCGGTGGTGCCCCTCAAAGTGGTTTAAGTGCCCTAAAAAAATTGGTGGCGCGCCTCAAAATGATGCTGTCGTCCCTTAGCATATCTGCAGCGCCTCTAAAATGATAGTGCCTTCCCTTAACCGGCGCCGGGCTGAGGTTTGAACCCCCTATAACTTGGCTACTGGGCCACGTAGCGACACGCGGTAAGCGGCATTCGAAAGAGTGTCAAAAACTACTTGGGTTAGTTGGTTAACCGTACTTTGGTTAGGTCAAGTCAAATGTCAAATATCAGGTGACCAGAGGTCATCAAAGGTGAAATGTGGGTGAAATGTTGTCTGTTTCAACATTTATTGGCAAACTGGCGCATAACTCGGGGAAGAATAGAACTACAGCACCGCGGAAAAAGCGCATTCGATTGCTCTTCAACGTTCCTACAAAGTCCTCAGACTTGACCTAACATCAACGGCTTAACCTCCAGAGCACAACTAGTTTAACCGTGCCGGGCCGGGGAGGTTTGGAGTGGACAGTGGACCCCCCTCCGCCCCTCTACTGAGCTGTTTTAATGAAGAACCTTTTTACTGCAATAGTTATTGACTCACGAAAGGTATGACATTGTTTTTTTCAGTACTGTGCTCCTCTCGTCGAGATGCGTCGAATGAACTATAATTTGACATTCAAATGTCATTTGGGAAATTTGAGCTCAGGTCCAGGTCATGACCTGACTGGTAAAGGTCACGTTGCATATCAGTCGATTTGTATCGTCAAACTGAAATCATCTAAGGTGTTTTCATCGCTCAGGCATGTCGCATGTCTCTATCAGAAGTTATTGAAAAAACTGCTGGAGGCCTTCCATGACCTGACATGACCTCAAGGACATAACGAGGGGTCGTGGGTGGCAATTTTCCGATTAAGTGTTTCATTTTTAATTGTTTTATGATGTTTAAATTCGTTAACTTTGACATTTGTCTACCTATAAAAAGAGGCATGCATGCCCTGATTTTCTCCCATTTCCTTATACCTAATGGAAGGGTCGCAAAATTGTCCTTACCTTTGGTCAAAGACATAGCAATTTCGAGACTTACATTTTATATATACAGTTACACACTGTTTGTCTTATCAATCGCTGAAGTTATAAAGGGATCGTTCAGTCGATGTACCTATGGTGAGCATTTGCCTGTTCCGTAGCTCAGTTGGTAGAGCACCGGACTCCCCGCATTGTCTTCGCTTGCGTTTTGTCCGCCGGCCGATCCGGAGAGAAAGTTACCGAGTAAAGGTCATTCAAATTTCAAAAACTCAATGAAAATGTCACTGGGGTCACGAAAATATTTGAGTAGGTAGGTATACCATTCATTAACTTGGGGGGGATGAACGTATCGTTACAAAATTATATGCTGTTCATTACGCGAGTAACTAATGAATAAAAAATGTATGACTTCATCCTTACTCCACCCGCTCTCCCTCTCCATAAAAAGAGAGTTAATTGTGTTGCATTTTATTTAGATGCAGAAAAATAGAGGCGTCAAAGGATATGGCCGAATATCAGCGACCCTTGCTGTGTAAGCAATGGGGCTTGCAATGGGGTATGACAAGTGGGGGTAATGGCCCCGTCCAGCGCCCATAAAGTGGGCACCACTCGTGCGACCAGCCGACCACTGTTCTAGAGCCATAAAACACCGTGAATGTTTTAAGCTTGACGATACGGATCGACTGGTATGCAACATGTTTTATTTATGGTGAGGTCATGAACTTGACCTCAGGTAAAATTTTAAAATTAATTTTTGTAAAGTCAAATTATAGTTCATTTGTCGCATTATGACACGAGAAATACTAGTTATATCCCGGAAAAATAGACGTAATACCGCTGAGCTTCGGTAGGTTGAATCTGAAATCATTACTTAGAAAGAGTTATAAAAGAACCATCGAACGTGTCTTTTTTGTCATTAAATATCAGTAGGTATGGCGCCCCCTCAGATGCCAAGTGCCGCCCCTATGAGTGCAAAATGCCGCCCCTAAATGTGATTGCCGACCCAGTGAAAATCCCTTAAAATACGCCCTGGAAAAAGGTCATTATCTCCCTTTAACACTCCTGCCGTGGTCATGATTGAGCCTTCCTCTGTAAATCTCGTATCACCGGTCAGCTGTTTGCGGCCATTCGCCATTCGGAGAAACCCAAGCCATCGCCGACAAACCCCTCAGCATTTAAACACACGAAGTCAAAAATCACATTGTATGCTGCGCACACCAACATCACAGTAGCGGTCCATTGTCTCCGCCTCAGATCACACGACGTTCAACTCAGCGTTCGCAAAGCAATGGGCTGGGTCGGTCCCACAATGCAGCCAAAGCCAGCTAGCACTGGAGAGATGCGATGGCTCAGGCGGCCACTGACAAGGTGACGTCACAAGTGGTACGTCATACTGGACTACGGCAGTCACGGCCGGCCGTCTCATCCGACAGTGACGTCAGTATTACGTCACACCCAGGCTGCCGTACATGACACTCGGCCTCAGGTAGCGCCGCAAAAACGGCACGGTAGGCGCATCGGGGGTGTCCCGCTTCGGCCGATGACATCACTGCAGAATTACGCCTGTCGCCTGGACGTACTTTTGGACGAAGGCGGCGGCCTCGGGCGCCAGGCCCGATGCGAGCAGCGCCGGCACGCGGCCGGGCCTCTGCTGGGCCACCCGCTGCAGGCCGCGCACCAGGTGCTCCCGCGGACTGGACACAGCGCCTGGAACACAGAGAGAAATAATGGTGACAGCGCCAGGAACACAGACACAGATACTGACGATCGTATGTGGAACACAGACACAAGCACTGGTGACCGATCCCGGAACACAGACACAAGCACTGGTGACCGATCCCGACACACACACCAAGCACATGAAACAAAAGCAAACACAGTGATTACCGCTGAGTCGGTGAAATGAGGAAGGGTTTGAATCAGTGAACGCGGCTGATACAAATAATGGCCATTGCGCATTAAACACAGACGCGAAAACATGCAACCGTTACGAGAAATCTACAACGTCGCGACATCACCCGTTAACAATAATTAGGCATATATAATAATTAGGTACACCTACAACTCTTCAAGATTCAACGGAACACCTGAAGATTTCATGAAAAGCTTAGAGTCCAGGATCATTACTGTAAGTGTTAATTGCTGCATTCATTTTTCACGAGTGTTGCCACTACCTTTAGGAGGCAAAGCATTACGGAAATGAGAAACGCCCACATCCGTATCCTCTCGTGTTCTTTACGTGGTGTCAAGTGTGAATGGAAGCTTTGGTCCTTGTAAAAACTCATTACGGAAAACCTGCTCACAGACACTTCAAAATAAATAAAGACGAACTTTTCAGAAAGAAAACTAATTCAAAACGGCCACTCATTAGATGGAACTTTCTGATGATCGGCAACAAGTAATTATGATGGAGAGATTTACTGACTCTGGTCTTCGATTTATTCAGTAATTTCCGGTCGTAGAATAAGCATATAAGAGCAAAGTAGTGCGTAGAAATAAGGTTGATGCTAAGTGTATCACCACAAGAATGCTCAATTGGGCTGCTGCACAGAGAATAGGGGAGAGTGGGGTAAGATGCCCAGGGTGGGAAAGACGCCCCACCCCCTCTAGCGGGGAAACAAAGAATCAAACCTGGAAATTAATGCTCTTAGCGTAAAGCGGAAGCCTGCCTTGTTAACTGCACAAAAATTTGCGAAGCTCAGTTGGGCAACGGCTGGCTGGTGATTGCATGTTTTTTATTTGCTGCTTTCAAAAAATATTTTGGCGTCAAAACATTGTAAATATCAAAGAAGGTAGCTAATTTTTGCGTCCCTTGCTATAGTCGTGATACATTAACATGCATGTACTGTGTCCCAAACAGTTTGTTTCAGGGTGTAGTTTTATGGCTAACAAATGGTGCTGATTTAATGTTACTTCGGTACCTTGGGGTAAGATGCCCCCTGTCCTGATGGGGAAAGACGCCCCCCTAAATCCGTAGGCTGTCCTCCAAGCAGCCCGTCAAATCATTTATTACATACTTGTGTTGAGAGACAAAAGCCGATCTGGGACTATTGAGAGTCCAGTACGGTCGGGTGCTCCCCATGCCGGTCTTTCGGCCCGCACAGCGACTTTTTGGGCGGCACCTGACTCTGAGAGCCCTCACGACGGCCTCTGTGGGCCCCATTATTGGTTCCAGGGCCCCTCACGACATCCTTTGAGGGCTCCCACGTTGGCTCCACGGGCCGCGCTGGCATCTGAGGTCCCCACGATGGACTCGAGGGCCCTCAAGCATCATAAAGACCTATAAGGGCCCACAGTGGTCTCCGAACGCCACCACGGAGGCTTGTTTGGCCACGCTGGACTATGATGGCCCTAACGATGACCTCTGAAGCCCCTTACGACTACTTTTGAGGGCCCTTACGATGACGTTTGGTGTCTACTGCAGGCTCGAAGGGACTACTGATTCGTTCAGGCGATTTACGTGCCTATTTATGTCACTTATAGTGCAGGGGGCATCTTACCCAACCCCAGGGGGCGTCTTTCCCACCCTGTGGGGTAAGATGCCCCCTTTCACTTCTTCAGGAAAATGCTTAATAGCAAAAAAAGTTATCATATTTCAGGCACGAAAGAGTGATATTTTGGAGAAAAATGATGTCGGCTTCCGTTGAAACTTCAAGTTTTGGCTTTCCGATCGTCATTTTCGAATAATATATGACATAGTCAAACCCTGGGCATCTTTCCCCACTCTCCCCTACGCTAAAGATGCCATGACGTTGAGGAAGGCGCGCTGCAGGGCTGGCCGCGGCCGTCCGACGGCCAATAAATAGACTGTGCCGCCGCGCTCGGCTGTCTTGCGGCACAGTCTACCCACGCAGTCTCACTCGCCGGCCTGCCTGGAAAGGCCGTGATCGGCGCGGCCACAGTGCCGAGGACGGCCGAGGCCAACGAAAATGTGTGGAACGGCATCTAGATCGGACGGCATGGGGAATGACAAACGAGTTTTTAATGTCGCAGCCTGTGATGGGATTTTCAGTAAAAATTTGATCTGAGCTCAAAAAGGATGACTTGATCATGTAAAACACTAACTGAAGGCTCATTACCTCATGGAAGCGATTTGCGCTATTCACCAACTATAGCACTTTTCAACATTGGCGATGAGGAGAGCGGCACTTCAACATAACATATCCACCAATGCTTAATTGCTCAATCTACACAGCCAGGAAACCTGGTAGGGGAAGGTGGGGTAAGACGGCCCAGCGGGGCAAGACGGACCACCAGCCCTCCCGGCTGAACCGCTGCTGTTATCTACTGCTTTATGCACTCACTACCTTTGTTTCCCTTCGTAACAATGGCCACCTTGAGCTTATGCGGCTAGGATGCATAGCTTTTGAGTTATTGAGAAAAGTGTTGAGTTTTCGTCAAACCGATCTAATATAAGAGGTTTACGGGTAATTCAATTTCGGCGCCTTTCTTGCATGATTAGTTTCTATTTTGCACTTTGCTGCGAAGAACAACGTTATAAACTTAGTTATAGTCACACTTTAGGACAGTTATTTTACCACTCAACCACTTTGTTTACTTCAACTTACTCGAGTACAGATTAGAACTGTACCAAGCATGAATGGATAGCAGGCACTGCTGGGTGGTCCGTCTTACCCCGCGTTTTTTCTTGTCTGAGTTTTTGACATGTCCCCCATTAAGAGCATCCACCACCTAGATGTCTTTAATTTGAAATTCAGTCTTTACACATATCAAAAGAGGAAGGATTGAGCATTCAGAAGACTATGAACACTATGAGTTACGAGAGCAGTGTAGCAAGATATGCGGCCTCAAACCTTAGCTGGTCCGTCTTACCCCACCTTCCCCTACTGGTACCCACTCCGGCCCGTCTCACACCTCACTCGGAAGTCGGGGGTGAAGACGGCATCAACGGGAAATTCGCCTTATCAATTAATTACATCCTACGGAGAAACTCGTCGATCGTTCAGGAAACACAATGCAAGGAGAACATACCGTGGCCTTCTCTGAACAGACCGAGCCGCCATGCAAACACACTAGAGGGAATAAAGGATGTTTCACTTGAACTCCTTATCGGTCGGGGGCGGGGAAGAGGAGCAGAGACAGGGCCGTCGGCCAGGTGAACAACCCCGCATGCATTGGTGCACCGAACATAGGGGCATCTCCAGCGGCGTAGGACAAAGTCGGCAGCGTTCAACGACAAAGGCGGGTCTCAAGCCTATCTTGTACCAATGCTCTTTAAAATAAGCAGCGGCTTGGGAATTTCGTAATGTATTTAGACAACAACGGACGAGGGTGATTAAAAAATAAGATGTGTATAAGCTTACGTGAAGGTATACATAACTTAGTTTATGATGAATGAATACGAGTATAGATACTGGGTATGAGTAAAACATCAACAATCAACATGCATAGTTGACTTGCGTAGGGCATCTCGCGAAGGCGAAAGGCATAAGGCGTACAAGTGATCATCCTTCTCCCTCCCCCCACCCCCTCCGTATGACCCTGTCGGCCGCCGCCACTTAAACGGGAGCGAGCCGTCCATTCAACATCAGCGCCGGGAGCGAATATCACAGACAGCGGCTAGGACCGACCAGCCGCACAGAAACACATCTAAAAACTGGCAATGGACGCAGCACCATACTGTGCTTGATTAGATAATATTTCGTTGCCACGGTCGCTCATCAATATGACGTTTCACCGATGACAAAGCAACTGTTTCATGGCGTCCAGTCCATTTCTTCTCTCGTTTCTCGTTTAAACTCCTCAATGCACGTCACATTATAGTGACAAACTCATAAATCGCGTCACAATTCGGATGAACACTTGGTGATCATCTGGGACGTCTAATCTTCCAGTGCCATCTCTTCCAGCCTTCTGCGTTCCGTGTCGTTTCACCACTCCGCCGGAGCAGATCAGGCCACCGGCTTCTCTTTGGGCTTCTCCGACTTAACGAGCTCGTAGTAGAACAGCGCCACTGCCGCGTACGGCGGCCAGAGAAGCGCCAGGAGAAGACTGGAGAGCACCGTCAGCGCCACAGACAGCTGCCCGCCCGCCGCCATCCAGCCGATGGCCAGCCAGGCCAGTAGACCTGTGGCCACCGGCAGCCACACGCCAAACCAGGCGAGCCACACGGCCACCCCGAATGGGTCGCACTTGTGAGCGGCGAACGCCATCTCCACGGAGACGGCCATGTGCACGCAGGGTAGCATGGTGAGCGGTACCACGAGCTGACCGGCCGACACGGCGCCGCGGCCCACCAGCACCGCCAGAGCGATCAGCACGAACAGGTGCAGGACCGTATACAGCACGCCCGTCCAGAACGAGGCCAGCCGCAGACCCATGGCGGCGGAGCACGGCACTCGCGCAGATCACTCCAGATACGGCGTGCCAGGTCCGATGGCGGTGGGAAGTCAGTTTAGTATCCAGACACCGCTCGTTCGTGTTCTTGGACTGATAGAAGTCGAGTATCCGCTGTCCTGAATCGACGTTCGGTATTTTCTCTTTGTTCGGCCGCCAGCTCCGATGGTGGTCCACTGTGGTCCGACTGGCGGTCCGATGCTGGTCCACTATCCCCACAGGAAAGTCCAACAGTGGTCCACAGAGCTCCGACTCCGTCCGACGATAACTCAGTGTCTCAACTAGCAAGGGCGGTGCGCGGCGCGGACACTCGGCCGCCACGGGGGCCACTCGGTACTGGACGCACCGGTACCCATTGCCTTTCGGCCAATGTTTACCTGGACACGTAGCAACCTAACGGTGCGTATCGACCGAACACCGATGGTGCTGGAGCAGCGACGGCCGAAAGGCGTCCGCGGGGACCTCGATGTCCACTAACCACCTCGGAGACGTCAATACGAATGCCCTACTGGCACAGCCGACAGGCGCCGCAATGCTCATGAAAACGCCGACAGTTTTTGTTCGACGGTGGGAACATAATAAGCTGACGGCCATTTCACTGAGCACGTAAAACACGACCCTGAAGTACTTAACTCGGAACTATACTCGTAAATTATATTTCGTTAATAAGAAGCCGTCTGTGTTCCTGACGGTAGTCAGTGTGTATGTACAGCCGCATTACGTCCATACGTTACTCCGCGAGGTCTGGTCCGGTCTCTAAGCGATCCATTACATATCACTCACGTACCGGTCAAACTCGCTGGGCTCGCTCGAAGTTGGCTACTATTCCTGGCGTACAGGCAGATGGCCATTGGTTTTGGCCAGCTCGGAACTTAGTACACTAATACGGCTGTCACTTAACTCTGTCGTCGAGCCGGCCAAACTTCCTAAACTAGTGTCTTCCGAGACTATCGCGCACCTTCCGGACGCCGTCAGTAACGGTTTGGTCCTGACACGATCCACGAGACGCCGCCGGCACCGTGATAGGACTATCCTAACTGGACGGGACTTGTGAGCCGGCGAGCGGCGGAAGCGGGCGGCGATGGAGGCACGGTCGGTAGCGGCGGTAAATACCGCCATGAGCCGGCCGCCGCGGCGGGGCGCGGAGACCGAGAGTCGCCCGCTAGCCACCCGCCGCTGCCCGGACTGCACCGGTTCGCGCCCGTCCCGTCCCGTCCCGCCCCGGACATAACGAGGTGCCGCCGGTGTTGTCTGGCCCCGTATTACCACCCCCACAATGCCTAACAATGTCTCTGGCGACCGACGCGTGCGTGCCGCAGGGGCTACCGTTCTCTCCCCTCCCCTCACCACAGCGCCGCCGGCGTTACGGGCCCTTTGTAAAAACGTCGCAATGCCTGCTACCTGACCGCGTCACAGCGCCCCTGACAACGGCTCACGTGCGCTCCCAGTAACATGGGCGGAAACACTGCATCAGCCGAGCTCCAGTAATTTTATCTAACACTAAAAATAGTAACAACAGCATCGGCGAAAAATATACCCACTCAGCTGTGAATGATAGTAAGAACTATTAGTAAAGTTATCTTGAGTAAGAACAACGGTTCAAAGAAATAATGACGCACACATCAATTAACGCTTTTAAATTGTTACATTGGAGATTGATAAATAAATATAGGCTAGTTTTATAAGCTGCAACAGAAGCATGCCTCAAGGAAGCGCTGCATCGGGTCCGCTTTCCATATCATTCCTTCAGATTACGCCATGTCGATCTGCCTTTCTCCGGCGGAGCCGCGAAGCTGCCGAGCAGTACAGATCCTGTCTGGTAACCAGATCGAGCTTGCCCAACGCTGCGTCTGAGCCCACACACGAACTGGATCAGACCAGAACGCAGACATCTCTAACGGACCTCCAGAGCAGGCGGCAGTGATGAGCTAAAGTTGGCGTCGACCTCGCCATTTCTGGGCTCCCGGAGTCCGCAGGATTACCAAACAATGCCAGAGTCAGCGTGAGTTTCTGAAAACTGTCCGAACGACGCACCAGCCACCTAAAAAACGGTCATTAGAAATAATCCCTTAACCTAAAACAGTGGCCAGCGCGCTATCCGCTAAAGCTGACGGCCTTAGCTTTTAACAACATGGCACGCCCCATGGAGGAGTGAGGGCCATGCCCAGCGATGATGCCAAGCCAGCGGCAGGGGTTGGCTAGAGGCGAAGTGAAGACACGTCCCCAGTGGGCGGCTGAGCGAGGTAACTACCCATGTCTCCTAACAGCGCGACGACGACTCGAACCGCTGAGCTACGCTGGCAAAACACGGCCGTCTATCGTCACGCCCACACACCCGCGCCGGTTCAGAAATATCGCCGGCGGTTACCGGATACCGCTGCCGGCGTCTGCGAGCATCAGCCATCGAACAGCGCTGAAAGCCGCCGCGGAGTCCGGTTCACGGGGGGACACATCGATAACGAGAGAACACCGTTTCCTTTTCAGCCGCTCGACATATTTAGATTAATGGCACGACAGCCGGTTCATTAATCTTCGTGCATAAACGCACCGGAATTCATCCCGATTCGTCCACGGTTCTATGACCCAAAGCCCTGGGTCATAGAAGCTTTGCGGGTTGAAAGCGTATGAGTTACGTGTTCCAAGAAGTTACCATCGGGTCAACATTTTTAGTATGATGTTCGGGGAATGTGATAAAATGCGCATGCGAATAGAAAGAGGAGGCATAAGAGAAGAATAGCTTTTTGTTCGTCGTTGGCAGCAGGAGAACAAAAAACGAATAGTTATTAATATTCAATGAGTTCACAGAGAGCACTCAAGTGGGCTAAGGCCAGTTGTTGAACCGGCTGCAGCGCTCCGTTGGGGCCGTGGCGAGCAATGCATCAAAACAGCTGCCCAGACCAACAATCGAAATCGAATTCAAACTCCATCTACTGTGCCGTACCTCGAAGGAAGCAATTAGAAAAGAAAACAGTAAGTCAAGTGCTCGGTCACTTATGCACTACAGGGTTAAAGTAACGGTTAAATAAAAAATAGAATGAAATGGAAAGTATATCCATGGCAATAACAGTCTCAAAATGAGATCCTCTTGCAACAATTTTCATATAAATGGCACCTCCACATTTATGCATTATGAACCCAAGAAAGACCTTCGCCTTCACGAGACAAAACCACGGACACCATTCTCACGGCACGATTGAAAAACTTGGACAACATTAAGTGAAGTTTCTTTCATTCCATGCGGCAGGATATAGCTGGACGGAACAGAGACGGGAGGTCGAGAGATAGCATACAGCTGAGGACACGCTAAAACAGCGAGCCACGACACAGCCAACGCTGCAGCAGCCTGGTAATTGAGGTGGTGGCGGGTCGCCGTGCCATCGAACGAGAAGCTCAGAGGGGAATGAATCTGAAAGGAAAGCCTGGGCCTTCGGCGGACAATTCAGGGCAAAAGGAGTAGCTTGTCGGGTGTGAGAGTCAGAGTGTGTAGTGCGGGGGGGGGGATGGGGAAGATGCGCGCGGTTGCAGCATTGTGCGAATAATTCAGGCGGAGTGAGGGGTCGGTAACGAACGGATGAATGTGCTTCTATCTCACCTTTGAGCGGGTCGTGAATGAGTGTCGTTGTTTCTATCTCACCTTTGAGCGGATCGTGAATGGGCGGCGGCGCGAACAGCAGCTGTGAGAAGGCCGCCTGGTAGCCCTGTGACTCGTCCACGTCGACAAAGTGCGCGTCCTCCACCCCGTCTTCGGCCTCGGGCAGCTCGAACAGGCCGATCAGCGCCTGCAGAATGGGCGCCCTGGAACGGTCGGTCGACGGTCAGCGGTCAGCAGAAAGCGGCGCGGGTCGGCTATTACCCTAGATACATGAGCAAGTAACTGTGCAGTACATGTGGATTTCGCTTTGAGCATCATGCGCTAATCCGTTTGTAGCGCGCATTTATGTGTCTGGACATGCGTCTTCTTTGTTCTTGGGACTGACACGTCCATGTGTCTGGAGAAGGTCAGTGAAACGAACCGACTGCAGTGACAGCATTAGCCGGCACCCAAAGGGGTACGGTTCACATGCTGGAGATCAAACATTGGCAGCACTGGCACACTTGCCGGCGCAACCTCTTGCGATAGTATGCGATATATTTTCGAAACCGTTCGTGTGACGTTTAAATAATGCGTCATCATCATCATCCTGAAAACTTGTGGTAATGTGCTCTACTTCAAAGTTAGCACTTCAAAGTATCTTTTGCTTGAGACAATCCACAGAAATGGAAAGAAACTTAAACGAGGGATTTCGGTCTATCCGAAGTTACTGGAAAAAACCTGCTCCAATAAGATATTAAAAGAAATTGAAGCAATAAGGCAGCGAGCGTCTGAAGAAAAGTAAATGTGGAATAAATTATCTCCTCGAATTCTTTAACAGATTCATCGCTTACGAAATTGAACGATGAAAAATTTCCAAATGTTTTCTCAGAAGCGGCGCCGAGAACTGAGGCCGGGCCAAAACCAGGGCTGAGAGAAAGACCTGTACGTTACGAGCTGATCCGTATAGTTAGGTCGGTACGTCGAGGGACAGCAAGTAAAACTCAATCGATATGTTGAGGACGGTGCGTATGGTTAGGTTGTACACTGTTCAGTTAACCCTATTCCTGGCGGGGGGGGGGGGGCTCATGAGCCCCCCCCCCCTGAGGTTTTTTGGTTATTTCTCCCAAACGCATTGAGCTAGGAAGCTCAAATTTTCTGACTTTTCCTTAAAGGCCTTTACGCAACATTTCTGAAAATTTTGGGTTGATCTGACCTCAGGTCAGGTCACCAGAGGCGGTTTGGTGACCCTACCTCAGAAAAGTTTGCAATCACGCCAGAGCTAGAGTTTTTGACCGATCAATTTCTTCTCTTCAGGCTTTAGTTAGGGTACCAGTATGTGCAATTTGTATATCTCAGAATTTTCATATCTGTGACCTGAGGTCAGGCCACACTCGTGACCTTTACATTGCAAGCCTATGGGAAAATATTGAAACGCCTCCTGCTTCGTGTAAACGAGTCAAAACCACCCAATTCTTTCAGTATCATGGAAGATTATCTCATCGGTGATGATCCTGGTGCCGCTAATTGACAGGGGCACCGGCAAAGGTCATCTGAGGTCATGTGACGTCATAAATCGTTTTTCTGTCAATAAATCACGACATGATGGTGCTAAAGACTTGTAAGTGGTACCAAACTGCTCGCCTGGTCAAGGCGCGTCGTTTGGTATGCAGCATGACCATACCCCACAACCTCATTGATGAATGACCTGACCTTGACCTCGGGTCAAATTTCAAATTAACCTGTGAAGGTCATCACATACTTATTTCGCATCGCCTCGGCGAGAGCAACAAAAATGTATAGGTTTTATGTCTCTATGTTTCTTAGTTTAAAAGTTATATAGGTAACTAATTCCAAAACATTTTATCGTTGATGACCTCTGGACTCTGGTGACCTCAATATTGACCTGACCTGAAAATGTTTTATGTAAAAGTTGTAGATCTTTAAACGACCTATCAAACGCCGTTCGCCGTTTGTCGCTGCGATGTGTAGTTTTTGAGATCTGAAGGGGGGCCGAATCGCCCCCCCCCCCCCGCCAGTTTCTTGTCCCGGCGGAGCCCGCCAGGAATAGGGTTAAACGGCTGGGCCTGTCCGTACAGTTGGGCCGGTATATCGTGATGATCTGTAACATTAGGTATATGCATTATGTAGCGATCCGTAGACCGTAATACCGAGGAACATAGAGTCTACGGTATGCCACGAGACGCTCTGACGTGTGCCCTGTGATATGTAGCGGTCCGTACGGTGAGACAGGTATATTGTGTAACAATCCGTATCAGTGAATCAGTACTGCCAGTAGGATCGGCAAATCACGGGACAATCCGCACCAGTCAGGTCGGTATGTTGTGTAAAATCCGTACGCGTACTGAGAGTTTAGGGTCGGTATGTTGTGTATAATCCGCAGTCCGCACCCCATCTGTGAGTAGCGTGGGTATACCGTACTATGCGCCGATGATTACCAGTACTGAAAGAAGGGCGGGGATTCTGTGGGACAAAACGTACCAGTACTGAGAGTGGGGTGTTCTTCGGACAAAACGTACCAGTACTGAGAGTAGGGTGGGGATTCGGTGGGACAAAACGTACCAGTACTGAGAGTAGGGCCCGTCCAGCAGCGCCGGCGTGTCACACAGCAGGTTCACCATGCCGGCCGTGCAGATCAGCTTGTCCTGAGTGCCGGAGATCTTCTGTGCCTCGGTGACCACCAGCCGCTCCACGACCATGCCAAACATTCTGGGAGGATCGAGCGGAGTCAGTGTCCGCAGGGAGCCGCGGGGTTAGCGGTATATCGTGGTCAGGATACAGTGCAGCCTCAGTGACTGCTAGGTAAACGAACTCAGACAGCGGACGGAAAGATCGTGGTTAAAAGAAGCAAAAGGAATCCGTACATTAAGCCAACTTTCTTTTTTATTTTAATGATGGTTCTGCTATGCATCATGTATCAAAAACAGAAGTCGGCTATTCTACAAAGTATTGTTCAGGGTTCACGGAAGGTGGCGGTGTCGATGGTCCTTCCTTGGGTTACCTGGTACCTTGACCAATATAGGAAGGTGGTTTAATTTGTATTTACTGCTTTCAATCAATCAATAAATGCCACGACGTCAAAATATATAACGGGAATGGAATCTGCTTCCTTCCGCTACGTGCATATTTGGCCGTGCTGTCAAAAGGAAAGTCGTGTATTCATAATTAAACCCATAAAACGTAGTGTACCGCATATCTCTGCTTATGTAAGCAAGCCTTTATATTCCGTTAAATAATCGTCGCTCCTTCCGTCAAACCTCCTGACTTCCCATGCCACTCACTTGGCCTGGATGTTATCGATGACGTCAATGAGTTTCTGGCCGCCGCGCAGGTGGGCGAACAGGAAAAAGAACACTAGCAGGCTCTTGACGAATTTGACCGTTTTGCTGCTGGTCAGCCGCTGGAACATGAGCTGGAACAACTGCCGGGTGTACTGCTCCATGGCGGCCCTGAGGACGGTCAGAACGGGCCGGCTCAGGTCAGCAGCAGGGCAGTAAAGACGTACAATACAACACAGAACGAACGAAAAGACGAGGCAGAGGCATGCTACGAACTAACAAGGTATGAAGGTTAGATGAAGGTTTAAATCATGCTAATTTCAGCTGAAATGGGCAATAATGCGAGGAGCGTCCTCCGGTCTACTGTATGCGGTGGTTTCGCGTTTGCTCCATACGAGCGACAGGCGTTGGCTACATGCCTGATCTCATTGCGTTGCGTTTTATACTAAATACACGGCACACAACTATAAATATCATATTAGTGTGTGTAAAAAGAGTGACGGGACACTTACTCTGGCAGCGACTCGAATAGGGCCGAGACGATAGTAAATCCATGATGATCATTCGCCCGGCTGGCGATCAGCTTCTGGAAGACGCCCAGTAGCGCCGGCTGCCGGAGACAGAGGGAGGGGGAGTTAGATGTGGACTGGAGCGGCGTCATAACTGTACGTGTGTGGGAGAGGAGAGGTGTCAAAGAAGGGTCGGGTAGGTCAGCCGTTGCGGTCGAGGACACGCATCTGGGACCTGGGACGTCGGTACTACAGGGAGAGGGGACATGACGCTAGGGACGGTGGCGTGACGCCAGTCCCACGGACAAAATTGGCGTGTCAGCCCTGCGCCGCTGTCAATTCGTTACCGTGTCAATGAGGGGGTCCCACCTGGGATATCTAAGGGCGATCCAAGGGCGTCGAACAAGGCAGGGGAGAAAGGCTACAGGCCTGGACTTTGATAGCAGACAATAACAAATAAACTGGTTTTCAAAACACGACTAGACCGTGAAACAAGAACGAAAGGGAGCCTTATGCTTAAAAAAAAAATGACGGGAATTTTACCAAGAAAACTATTGCAAATACACTAGTAAATGATTAAAGCCAAAGAGGACACAAAATGGTACATTTTGTGCATAAAAAGCGAATATGATGTATCCACGCCAACAGGGAGGGCACAAGGGGTTGAGTAGCAAGGCAGGAATGCCGCGATCAATAGAGGTCCCGCCCAGTCTCCTCGACCGTAATAAACCACGCACGAGGCGAGCCGGCAAAGAGATAACCACAGAAACTCCGCGCAATACTTCATAATCGTAAAATGTGCCGGAGTAGGCGCCCGAAAATGCCACCGCGATGATAAACTCGCGCCTAAATGAGATGAAAAGTGCTGGCCGTTCGTCTAAATTCATGAACTGTCTCTGTTTCATATAGCAGCATATCCTTAAATCCCACGCAGGTACGAATCCGACGACGTAACGAGAACGCGTTGTGCCACTGCGCTGGCGTAAGGCACACTGCAAAGCCCGGTTGTAATTACGGGGAATTCGATTTTAATTAACCCTCGCATGTGTGCGGCGTTTGCCAGCTTCTAATGTGTAGGGGGGGGGGGGGTCGGTTGGACCCCCCCCCCCCCCACCCTTGCCGTTTGGCCCCTGATCGAGCTAGAGCTTCGCGGAAAAAACGAGCGTGTTGCCCGTGACGAGAGGAAGCCGATGATACCCAATTTTAAGGTCCTAGATCATTGCTTGACCTTCCAGGTCAGGTCAATGACCCAAAGTCGGGAAAATCGGGACCTGTTAGAAAGTCGTAAAGTGTGGCTGCTAAGGGGTTTTTCGGGGTGCTGATCACGAATATCGTGTTAGTTTTGATCACAGATGATGTCTTTACGCATTTAGACCAGGTCGGGTCAGGTCAGGTCAGGTCAACCAGTAGGCGTCGTGACGGGTATTCGTAGTACGTGTAAACCGCCTCTGACAGCTTCGTAACATGTTACGAAGGCACCAAAACTACTTCGTAAATGTTCAAATGGTTGCTGAATTCGAATTCAGCTCCAAAAACTAGCCTAGAAACATGTACAGCTCGAAAAAGTGAACCGAGGTCACCCGAGGTCACCAAAGGTCAATGACCTGACCTGACCTTCAGGTGACCTTGACACCCACCCTAATGCATGGAAGCAACATCAAATCACATGTTTGAACGTTTGAAACCACGAAAAGCTTGCAAACGCGCGGCTAATGCGAGCCGACATACGCAGAATCGCGATTCCGGCCAAAAATGGTCTCGGAAAAGAGGTTACAGGTCAGAGGTCATTTGGGTCAGGGTCATGAAATTTTCAGGGTAGGTGTCAAATTGATCAATGTGAGGGTACTGAAAGTTTCGTCGCGATCGGCCGCTTTTTACGCGAGTTATTCGCGAAAAACCATGGGGGGTCCATCCGACCCCCCCCCCCCCCTACACATGCGAGGGTTAAGAAAAGGAAATTTCCAAATACCTTTGCACACATTCTTAGCATCATAAAAATATTGGAGTTGAAACTAAAAATAATTAGATGTAGCTGGTTAAAGCAATTTTCCACCCAAGATGGCCGGTATCAAGGGGGGTGCCTGGTATTTGGTGACCTTTGTGCTTTCCAAGAGCACGTGGAATCAAGTCGCTCTCGGTTTACCTTTCAACTATGTGACACTAAATCGCTAATCTTTAATCGATAAGCATTAGGATGTTCAAAAGATTGGCTACAGGAGCATTTTCCTTCTAAGCACTTGCTGTTTTGTTATTCCTTGGAGTCTGGGACGTGGGGATATGGAACACTGACAACAAAGACAATGTTCGTGCATATCCGTTTCAAAGCTAAACACCGATTCCAGCGCGATGACTCACATAACGTTTCATTTGATACTAATTTGTAACGGCCGTAATAAATATTAGCTTCAAAATTTAACACTATGCGAATCTGGAAACTATGGCAAACGCCACAGAGTTACCACGGATAAAAGGTGATGAATTACGGTGACGTTGACGCCCAGCTTCTGTCTTATAAAGATACCACCGTTCCTCACCAGTTTGTCGATTCGTATGATGGCCTGCGGGTCTCTCCGCACACAGCCCGCTATGAACCGCACCAGAGGCGGGACGTTGCCCGTCTTCTCCCAGAGCACCGGTGCTAGGATGTGCGGCAGCAGGGCCTGGTACGGCTCGGGCACGGCAGTCTGCAGCTCCAGCATCACAGACAGCAGCTATGTAACAGAGGAGGGGGTTAGAATTATCAGAAGGGCCTGGTAGGGTTCAGGCACGGCAGTCTGCAGCTCCAGCATCACAGACAGCAGCTGTGCAGAGGGGGAGGTTCAGATAACAACTGTGCAAGGGGAGAGAGGGTCGCGATGCTGCTGATCTAGCACAGACAGTAGCGGCAGAGGTGAGTGAGGAAGTCGAGATAGTCGAGACTTAATTTTCTACCGGCAAAGCACCACTGATCGACCAGATCGAAACAGATACCAACTGACGGGTCGGATCAAAGTGGCTTCCACAGATGAGGCAGACATGGCGAAATTTGAGGCTAAAGCGGATCAGACGCGCTCACGATAAATCACAGGGGATCAGCTAGCTGGTATGCCATCGGTTACAAAAACGCTGTCCTGGAAAATTAAAATACTCTGTAAACATGTGTTTGTAACACACATGTCAATATGTGTGTTTATGAATATCAGCGTTTATTGCAACGAGTGAGGATGGAGAAAAACTAACCCTACCCGAAACATCTCGATTGGCTTGTGATCAGATGCCTCGTACGACTGAGCTACCAGGTCACAAATGGTCACTACCACGTTTATTGGGGTCTCGCATTACCAATCATCATCCACCAAAACTCTCAAGTCCATTTCAAGCCACCCTTCACGCCACCCCCCCCCCCCCCGCCTTCCCACCAGCCTGGAAGCATAGCAGCTCCCCGCCCACCCCCGGCGCCCCAAGCGTCACAGCTCAATCGGTAGTCGTCTTACCTGGAACACATACGGCACGAACTCCTGCACATCCTGCTGAAGGATGGTCTGGAAGTGCGGGAACAGCACGCCTTCGAACGTGGCGACCGCCGCCGGCTGAGACTTGCACACCACCCTGGTGGGTAGAGAAGGACCGTAAGATTACGAAGGGGTGTTATCACGGCACGGAAGCTGGCCCTCGGTCCGAAATTGAGATGGTGAAATTCATCAATTTGACCACTGTAGATAGAATAACGAGATATTTACGACAGTGAAATACACCAAGACTGATAAGAAAACCCTGTAGGCGTCATGTTCGATCTTCATCAGTCAGATTCAGCGCCTGTGGCCTCTGCTGCTCTTTATTCATATCACTGAGGCTGGAAACCCACAGGTCCCCTCCAACTTTTTGAGTCAAAGAGCGGCTTCCGCCACCGGCGACTCCCCCTACCCCGCCGGAGCTCACCTGATGGAGAGAGCCAGCGTCTCGAACAGGTAGTGGTTGAAGTGTGGCTTGCTGGGGTTCTTGGAGACCTGCGCCAGGATGGTTGTGAGCGTGGGCAGCAGCTCTCCCAGGTGGGGGATGGCCGCCTCCTGCAGCGCCGAGCACGTCCGCATCACAGCTGCCGGTCGAGGGGGAGCGAGGGTCACATGTCTGCCGTGAACACTGACCGAGGCTGCCGCTACATTAGAGTTGCCTTTCTTTTTATGTCGAGCGACAGATACTGTTCTCATTTCCCACGGTGGAGATGACAGAACACAAAACAGTAGAAACAGTTAGTACGAAACAACCCCGCCCCCTACCTCCACAGATGGCATAAACTCCCTACAGAGGACACCACAGCCCTCTATCGACATCGCCAAAAATACGCCAATCATTAGCCGCGAACGTATAGTGTCGTACCTTTCATGGCGTACTCGTTCTCTTGCGAGGCCGGCTGACTGAACACGAACACCAGATTGGTGAGCAGCTCCTTGGCCAGAGGCGCCACGTGCTGGCTCTGTAGGCTGAAAACGGGCGATGGATGTCAGATTACTGATCCACGGAGACCGGGTCTCATGGTTCACAGCACCACTGCTCACCATGATTCACAGCACCAGCTCAACTCACTGACGGGCAGTTTGTTCACCGCACTCTGATTGTATGACAAACGAAGTAAAGACTGACGTGCTTAAGGACGACAAAAAAAAAATCAAAACACCTCAACCATAGTCTTAATCTATACATATATAATGCTAAGTAAACATCAAAAGAAGCCCGAAAGTTGTTGCATACAGTGGCGTTGTATGGGTCTCAAGTTCGTGACTTACATCATATGAATGCGTTACTGGCCGCAAGTCTGCTAGTCTAAGGAGCAATTTAAGTCGCGATTCCGTAACTTACAGGGGCGTTTTGTCGGCGGCGCGCACCATCAGCAGCTTCTCGATGGCCATGGCCGCGTAGCTGTGAACCACGACGGACGGCGAGCGCAGCAGGCCGGCCAGGTACGGCAGAGAGGCGCGCACCAGGTCCGGACGCAGCTGGCTGCGGAACGCCATCACGTACTTAATGGCGTCCGCCTTCAGCACCAGCGACTGCGTCAGCTGCTGGTCCTGTGAAACACAGAGAGGGACGGCCGTCAGCACCAGCGACTGCGTCAGCTGCTGGTCCTGTCAGACACAGACAATTAGACGACCGTCAGCACCAGCGACTGCGTCAGCTGCTGGTCCTGTCAGACATACAGAGAGGGACGACCGTCAGCACCAGCGACTGCATCAGCTGCTGGTCCTGTAAAACACACAGAGAGGGACGACCGTCAGTACCAGCGACTGCGTCAGCTGCTGGTCCTGTCAGACAGAGATGACTGTGTCAGCTGCTGGTCCTGTCAGACATACAGACAAATAGACGGCCGTCAGCACCAGCGACTGCAACAGCTGCTGGTCCTGTCAGACAGAGAGACAAATAGACGGCCGTCAGCACCAGCGACTGCAACAGCTGCTGGTCCTGTCAGACAGAGAGACAAATGGACGACCGTCAGTACCAGCGACTGCGTCAGCTGCTGGTCCTGCGAGATAGAGGTAACTGTGTCAACTGCTGGTCCTGGCCCTGAGAGACAGACTGCCGTCGGCTGCAAATATGTAAGATAGAGACGGCTGTCAGTAATTCAGGTGTATGTATCTAGCCTCAGCCTGACCTCTAGCGATATCTGACCTACCATTAGGGTGATGGTGATGCATGCATCTAACGTATCTGACCTGCAGCTCGGGCAGAATCTGCGCCTGGTAGAAGTCGTCCAGGTTGACTAGCGAACTGGTTTGTGTGACGCCGTGTTTCTGCGTGGAGCCCTTGGCCGCCAGCGAAGTCACCAGGTAGATGGCCGCGTCCTTGTGTTTCCAATTGGCTGTTCGGTTCTCGGCGGCCTTGGCCAGCATCACCTGCGGTAGAAAAGGTACACGGTTACACTCAGACTCACATACAAGAGCGAATACTGTTACGCTAACGGGGACGATAGACGACAGGGAAAATGATGGGAGAAGATCTTCATTTTAGTGAGCCACTGGTGCAGTTGCATATTGACCATAATTTCGTCATAACATTCATAACATGTAACGTATCTTTAAAAAAAAAAAAAAAATGTTGTGAATCTGCTGATGGGCAATGTAAATGCCAGCAAGGAATCTAGATGCCAGAGTAAGAAGGAGCCGAACTGACCTGCACGTATTGTGAGAACTCCTGTGTGATCCTCTGCTCGAAGAGCCGGGAGAGCGACTTGACCAGGTCGCAGGCGGCGCGGCGGCGGGTGTCGACGTCCGAACCCTCCACGTCTCGCCGGATGTACTCCTGAGGGTTATCCTCGAACAGCTCCTCGTCGGACACTGACGGAGAGAGCGAGAGGAAGGTGGTGAGAACAGTCAACACGCGCTGGATCAGCACTGACATGTGGTGAAAACGTATTGGTTGGTGACAAGTGGCTTGGGAGTATTTTGTTGCTGCCAGAAATTGGTGAACGGACGGTAATCCTCACCGCCTCAGGTCAATGAAGTATGGTACATGTTAGGTGGATCTGAGGTTGGCCGTGGTGATCCGAATTACATCGAAGAACTAAAAATTACCATGCACTCAATCGACCATTAAGCTACCATGAGTAGGTAAAACAGATAGAGCATTAGTCTCATATTCAGCTTATCTAGGAAAAAATCCCAAGTTATCAGAGGTCACATACCTAAACTCCAAAGGCTTCAAAGTTCAAATCGAGGCGCATAAAAAAGCGATACCCAATGCCAAAGCCAAAGTTCGTCGACCTTTACGCCACACCGCACGGCTCTCCTCCCCCCCCCCCCCCCTCCCCAGTGACCACACGCGTCGTGTCGAGTTTCATCCGATCCCATTGCCGCCTCACTAAGCTGATCGCTACCACCGCAGGTCGGGTCATATTACTCCTGCGATACCGTGCAGGGAAGCCGCACCTACGCAGACACGCAAAAACATGTCTGGTAAATATCGCACCCAGTATCAATACGCAGCCGCACGGGTCAACGGCGTGGTAAGCAAGATACACAACCATAAAAGGAGTCGAATGGAACGACGCACGATGCTTGGGGAGCTAGAATAGGCTTCTTTGGATTAGGACGAAAAAGCGAACAATTATACTGGTCGGTAGAAATTAGAAAATGTAGGCTAGAATGACGTGGAGGACGGTAGCCTCTCCCAAAAGGGTAAAAGTGAATTTACAAAACAATATTATTATTTCGTTGAAGGGAGATAGTAGTTCACTGACTGACGCGCTAAGTCACCGGGCTCGCGCCGACTCACCCCTGAACTCCATATTGGGCACGATGATTTTCTCGCAGATCTGGGAGAGGACGCCGTCGCCCTCGAAGATGCCCTTGTAGTGAGGCCGCTCGACGACGCACGACAGGAACTGGATGGCGTTACTGACCAGCTGAGGGGAGGGGGCGGGGACAGAAGGCAGCCTGTTACCGGGCCCAGGGCCCAGGCTGACAACACGGCGGACATCGCCTCATTACCGGCAGTGCGGCGGCATCGTAGCCGGTAATGGCTGGCGATTGATTCAAAACTTGGATCAATCGTTGACCTAGCAAGTGTTTTCGATCATGTATTGTTTCATTCCACGTCTGTTATTCGGAAGATGGACTTGTAGACTAAAATAGCCCTCAATGACCTACAGACATAACAAAGTACACTCGTTAGAGCCCAGACTCCAGACACTCCGTGAACACTCTTCATTCACCCACCCGTTCATTGGGCACTCACCAGATCGTATTTGACCTGCATGCCCGTGCTGGCCAGCAGTTTCCACACGGACTGCACGAAGCGCGGAAGGTACGGGCCGAACTCTTCGTCGTACTTTTGGGCGTAGAGGGCCACGTTGTCGCAGATCTGCGTGCGCAGCTGCTCCAGCGGGCCCGCCTCCTCCTCATCCTGACCAGCGGCGCGGCGGCGAGATCAGAGTGGTTAAGTCGTAGGTAGTCCGTAATCGTGATCGTAATGTTGCGAATTTTAACAATAATAACTATTAACTATAAATATGAATAACAAATCACCTCCTAAGGAATAATGGCTATGTGACCAACTACGTCTGTTTTAACTATATCTGTATGATTTCTGGGATACTTCTATTACACTTACATATCCATCTTTTCACGTCCTGCTATGTGACTTTTGTCTCGGCTGAGAAACAGTCCGGCGGCCGGCGACAAATACGGGAAATATAAGTGCTGAATGTAGAATGTAGATGACAAAAAGGCGCGATTACCAATAAATATGGATCCTAGTCGGAAGAACAACCGTCCGCCGACTGGCTCACCTCGGTCTGCAGCAGCTTGTTGTCCAGCTCCAGCAGCTGCAGGAAACGCGGCATCCACGTCTCCATGTTGTCCTCAAAGTACTCCGGCAGGTCCTGGCGGCGAAGGGGAGCGTGCGATATGTGCGTAGCAACTAGCAACAACTCACTCAGATGAAAATATAGCGAACGATTGGAACCGATTCCGGGGGGGGGGGGGGCAAAGATAAAAAGACAGAAGCACGCCAAAAAGTGAATCATACTGCAACAATAGAATCATATGCCAAACTGAATTAATTACCTAAGGCCTTGCATGACTTGGTAACACCACGTTAACCGCTGCTTTGCAATGCCAGCAAAAAAAGTCCCAACATGTCCAGTGTCCACCCACAATTGGCCATTATGTTAGCTGGCCATAATAAATCCACAGCATTCACACCATCACCAACCTGATAGTTGAGTGAATAGAAGAGCTCACAGATGAGCACCAGCGACGAGACGATCACCTTCAGGGCGGCCGCGTTGGTGGCGTGCTGCTCGGCCAGCGCCATGGTAGCCTGGCGGAGACCAGGGTGGGTCAGGGCAGACCGAGCACATCACGGATTGGATGTCGTCCAAAGGACGCTCCATATTCCCACATACAACACTTAAAACTCGTAAAAATCAAAGTTAACAGCAGACTTTGAGAGGTGTGTAAAGCGCATGTCAATACACATACTTCATAAGAAATTAATCGTGATATTTGAGACCTGTTTGAGACCTCGTGAAAATCAAGTTAACTGCACGGTGACTTTGAGAGGCGTTGTGTCAAGCGCATGTCAATACACATACCTCATAAGAAATTTATCGCGGTATTTCACGTAAAACAAGCAATTGCGATTCGAAACACGAAGTCGGTCCCAGGTGGATTTAGCCTAACAAACATAAAGCACCGAACTGGCAGTTTCCAGGTCCTGAAGGTATAAACATGTCGCCAATATCAGACTTACCACAAAGAGCTCTGTGAGCGGTTTGGCGAAGTTGTCCAGCACAAACTTGATCTCCGTCCAAAGCTCGTTAGACTTGAATTCGTACCGGTACCTCTCGAAAAGGGAGTGGGCGGTCCGCAAAATACCGTTTATCACATGGAAATCGCCTGAAAAAGGGGATTATCACACATTACACAAGACCTATGTTGCAGGCACTTCAGAAAATCAGTCATTTTGTAAAAGACGGCTGTTTGAAAAATGACTGAACGCAACCAGGCTTTTTTTCAAAATGGCTAGCCATTTTACAAAATGACTAGGCATTTTGCAAAATGCCTGACCAGCATGGAACGTAGATCCCACTACAGATACTATGGCCAACAGTTTTTGGACGTCTTCCTATACCCTATAGGTACGTGTTCAGCCTGTAGCTGATCGATTTGAAGCTCTGTGATGACGACAATGCTGAGTAACGACCAGGTTGAGTTGCAGACTCGGCTGTAGCATAAAGCATTGTTTAGTTAACGCTGTAAAAACTCCCAAGTACATCAACGCCGTTCATGTTCTGCCTGAAACTAGACCTAACAAAACCAGCCGGAGACCGGCCCTAGTCAATAGGCAGGCCCGGTTGATGTACAATTACATGTAAACGAATGAGTGTAGTCTTTGTTTGATTGTGCCATTACGGACAAAACTGCATTATGTATTTGGACATTAAAAACACGTTCGAATTTAATTATAATTTCCCACTCCTTCTCTCTCATCCTCACATTTTAAGAAACATCGTCGCTGTCAGTTCTATTTATTAATGCAGTGCGTACTGCGATGGCCTAGTTCACGCAATTGTTTACAGTAATATTGTTTAGGTTTTCTTCCTAACTTTTCTTTGGAATAAAAAAAAACTCTCTGATCACAATTAATATTAAAGCAATAATTAACACCAGTAAAACGCCTTTTGGGCGAAGAACGAGCGAGCGAGATAGTGAGCCCTGCACGTGCGGAAGGGCGAGAGGGTACTTCCAACGGGCTTGCGCAAAGCACCCTTCTAACCGGTCGCTAGCGGTGTACCAAATTTGAGCGCAATCGGCCCAGCCGTTCCTGAGATCTGGAAGCGGCATTCTGCACGTGCGCACGTGCAAACGGGGTCAAAACTGACTTTTGCATGGCACCCTACTAACTGGTCCCCAACCGTGTACCAAATTTGAGCGCAATCGGCCCAGCCGTTCTCGAGATCTGGAAGCGCCCCCTGCACGTGCGCACGTGCAGTAGCACCTTAACCGCAACACATGGGAATACATTGCCTGGTGGGTGCCTACCTGTATGCCAAGTTTCAGCGAAATCGCCCCAGTAATTACCGAGTTATTAAAATGGGAACAAATTTGACACCTCTTATTGTTGTATTTTGCACGTGTACTGGGGGTGACCCACATGCATCGAGAGTATCCTATTTTTGGTAGAAGGGATGCTGCTACCCTACAAAAATCACCGCAAGTCAATCGCCGAAGCGGCTGCTGAGATATGAGCCACTCAAAATCACTACTTTTGCAAAACAGCTTGAACACCCTTTACTTTTCACGTGGCACGTGCCACGACGGTCACTGAGATGTATCAAAAGTAGTCAATTACGGGGTAGAAGGGATGGGGCTACCCAGCAAAAAAGACCGCAGGCCAATCGGTCCAGCGGTTGCTGAGATATAAGCCTCTCAAAAGCGTTACAGGCCGGGCCGGGCCGGGCCGGGCCGCTCATACTGAGATTTTTCCGTTATTACGAGCGAGCGAGCGCAGCGAGCGAAGTGAGTCTTTTCAATATAACGGAAAAATCTCAGTATGAGCGGCCCGGCCCGGCCCGGCCTGTAACGCTTTTGAGAGGCTTATATCCGGGCCGGGCCGGGCCGGGCCGGGCCGGGCCGGGCCGGGCCGCTCATACTGAGATTTTTCCGTTATTACGAGCGAGCGAGCGCAGCGAGCGAAGTGAGTCTTTTCAATAGGCCCGGCCTGTAACGCTTTTGAGAGGCTTATATCTCAGCAACCGCTGGACCGATTGGCCTGCGGTCTTTTTTGTTGGGTAGCCCCATCCCTTCTACCCCGTAATTGACTACTTTTGATACATCTCAGTGACTGTCGTGGCACGTGCCACGTGAAAAGTCAAGGGTGTTCAAGCTGTTTTGCAAAAGTAGTGATTTTGAGAGGCTCATATCTCAGCAGCCGCTTGGGCGATTGACTTGCGGTAATTTTTGTAGGGCAGCAGCATCCCTTCTACCCAAAATAGGATACTCTCGATGCATGTGGGTCACCCCCAGTGCACGTGCAAAATACAACAACAAGAGGTGCCAAATTTGTTCCCATTTCAGTAACTCGGTAATTACTGGGGCGATTTCGCTGAAACTTGGCATACAGGTAGGCACCCACCAGGCAATGCATTCCCATGTGTTACGGTTAGGGTGCTACTGCACGTGCGCACGTGCAGGGGACGTTTCCAGATCTCGAGAACGGCTGGGCCGATTGCGCTCAAATTTGGTACACGGTTGGGGACCAGTTAGTAGGGTGCCGTGCAAAAGTCATTTTGGACCCCGTTTGCACGTGCGCACGTGCAGAATGCCGCTTCCAGATCTCAGGAACGGCTGGGCCGATTGCGTTCAAATTTGGCACACCGCTAGCGACCAGTTAGAAGGGTGCTTTGCGCAAGCCCGTTGGAAGCACCCTCTCGCCCTTCCGCACGTGCAGGGCTCACTATCTCGCCCGCTCGTTCTTCGCCCAAAAGGCGTTTTACTGGTATTGAAAAGGCTCGCTTCGCTCGCTGCGCTCGCTCGCTCGTAAAAACACGATTAATTTTGTTCTGTGGCAACAGCTTTGAGTACCTACTTGCATGGTCCCAGTTAAAAATATCAGGCTCCACATCGGGAGAATCATCAGGTCGCTTGGCGTATAGGACGAGAGCGTTGGTTTCAGAAGACACTAAAGCCTAAGTGTGTGGGATCGAATCCTCGCGACCTCTAATAGTTTTACAGATACAGGCCGGCATAGGGCCAGTCGTTTGTTGACGCTCCAGATCGATCATTTTAAATCCAGCAGCGTCGCTGGCGTGGGGTTGGAAATGTCGCGGGCCTGCACTTCTCAAAATAGAGGTAGGTATGGACTTCCCACTGCTGGACTCCTCTGGTCATAATGCTGGACTCCTCGGTCCACCTACACGCTACCAAAACGTATATAATTAGGTACTCGTATCTACAACACGCTGCTCAGTCATTTTGTAAAATGGCTAGGCATTTTGCAAAATGACTGGAGAGTCAGTCATTTTGTAAAATGCCTAGGCTTTTTGCAAAAAGCCTGGAAAATCAGGCATTTTGCAAAATGCCTAGGCATTTTACAAAATGACTGATTTTCTAAAGTGCCTGCAACACCTAAATCACTTTACCCAATGTGGCCATGGTGGATTTACAGTTTACGGAGCAATTGAATATTAGGGAAAGTTTCTCGAGGGGCATAATAAGCTTTCAGGCGCGTCTCGACGTTTCTGCTCTGCTTTTGTTATCGTAATGTCAGTCCCACGCACAAGGGGGAAAAGCTCAAATTATTGAGCGCTCAAAAAATTGAGCGGGCCCCATTATGAAGGAATAGGCGAAGCGATGGTATTTTACAATGCCTCTAGCGTCACACTACGGCAAATATCGTATCCAAATAAGGTATCAATGGCAAGAGAGAGCAACAAGGTTTCTTCTCGAACACTCGCCGTGATAATTTATATCGGTGTTTTTGGAAAGAAAATGCCCTAAAGACGCTCAACTTTTTGAGCGCCACTTGTCGTTCGGGACCGCGATACTCAATAAATTGAGCGCCACGACAGACGACAGTCAGCTGACGCTCAAAAAATTGAGTGCCGGCCAGCATCTACACTCAATTTTTTGAGCGTTCTCCGTGACAGGTGAAGCCGGTACTGGCTGCCATTTTTGATGTTATGTTCGTTGAAATACGTTAAACTGAGTTGAAACAGAAATGCAGGAAGTTGAATGCTACGTGGTACCTAAACTTTTCACAAACCCATGGCATCATGTCACATTTTCCGCTAGTAGTTTTATCGGTCGCCTTTCGGATTCGGCACACCTCAAATAATTATACAGGGCTTGAATACTCCGTATGAATACTGTATTGATATTTTCTGACTGTACTGGGAGAAGGGAATACGTGATTACAGAAAGATATCCACCCACGCTTGAATATTGGAGAATTATACAGGAAAAACTGTATTGCCACGGTTACAACTTACAAGGCCATCGGCCGCAAACAAACAAAAATACTATACAATGTGGGTTAGATTCACAAACATCATCAAGAGTGGAACACAGAGACGAGCAAAACAACATCACATTATCGCATGCCAGCCCGACCACATTGGAACCGGGTGACCTGCGACCGGAACCTGCGTCTTGCCAGCATACATCACAAAAGCAGGAGGCAGTGTCCTACTGCTTTGATCCAAAATATGCCATATAACAAATGATATAAACGACCTAAGCTCGGACTAAGCTTATCATTATCAAATCCTTAACATGTAAAAGACGAATGGAAACATCGAGTCTCAGACCAGCAGTAGCAACCATCACAGTAGCAACATCACAAAGAACACGCGGCATTATCAGACAGCCGTTTTGTTATCGGGCTACAGGCGGCGACGGCGTGGTTGCAGACCAGCTGCGAGGTAGCGGCGTGCGGGCAAAAGGCGCGGGCACACCTCCATGTGGCCGTGCGGACAGTGCGCGGTCGGCGTCGCATAGTGGGCGGCATCGGGCTGTCCCGGGGCCGTCGAAGCCGCACAGGTTGTCGGCGCATGTGGGCGCGCGCGGTCACCACGGCCAGCTGCTCACCACCAGCACAGACTGCGCAGCGTCGCCGCTCCGCCGGCCAGAACACGCAGACAACCCTTCTTGCAGTCGCGCAACACGTCGCCAAACTCATTCACCTGCTCCACCATGTTGTTGATGTCACCGAGTCGTTCAAGTTGTGGCTCGTGCCGTCGAGCATGACCTGCCCGATCGGACACGGGTCAGCGGCTTCTGCTCCAGCGAAGTCTTCATCTTGGTGACGTCTTGCTGATCTCCACAAAGGCTGAGCAGATGACCTTACCCACAGGGACGGCCGACGTCCTCGCCAGCGACCGCTTGGTTGTGCAGACCTGCCAGAAAAAGAAAAGCTGTTTGGTGATCTCAAACGATTTTTTTTCTTTATGCAGTGGAACAAAATGGAAAATATGTCATACAACAGGAACTAAAAAAAGATGCAGCCTAGGTCGTCTAAGAAATGGGTGCAACATTGATAAAATTCTTCCTTGAATGAATTCTACAAATGCTTTTGATAAAATGTGTGGTGATTATAAGGAGACCACTTTACTATAAAATTGCTCAGGATTCCCTATCTGGACCTGTCAAAAAATCCTGACTGCACACCAACAATGAGCATTAAATCCGAAACCTCTACCAGGTACCTAGGGATGATTAAATTCTGATTCAGGAAAATATTTCACATCATACAAATAAAAACCTTTACCAAATTGAAACTGAAAATGTGATGCCGATCCAGTGACCTAAGGGTCTCAAAGTATAATAATTAATTAATCTATTATAAATTTGGTGGTGACTGCCAACTGGCGTCTGGCAGCCTAGACCTTGAGGCTTGAAAGTGGCCTTCCTTTTCCGTTGACTCTGATCCTCCAGATGGAAATGATATAAAGGATCATTTTTATCTTATTTCAAATGAGCCAGTCAGCAAAGTGGCTATCCTGTTTCAGCATTCACACACACAATAGTTGACTGTCAGTCTGTCATGCTGTCAGTGTTGTGAAGTAACGAAGGAGTTGAGTTTTGTTGATTATAAATTGTGATGTTATGTAAAGGACTGGAAAATGAATGTGAAAACTATGGAAACATATTGGCAGAGTATTGTCACTTACTATCAGGACATATGGATAGAGAATACATTCAAATTAGTGAGAAATGCCAAATATCAAGGTACTCAATCACTGATAGCAGTGGACTATCATATGTTTTAATGTCAATTATATGAAAGTTAAGACTGAAACTACCTTTTACTTCATCATACCTAATGAAAAATTGTGTGAAGAAAACATTCACAGCCTCTTTGAAGCACTTAGACCACTAAAAAACAAAAATTTTCCCGTAAATATGTTGTGTCTCTTTCCCTCAAAACATCATATCGAATGGCGCCACTTTCGTCGACAGTTACTTATCTGCACGCAAATCGAGGAAAACGTGATTTGATTGACGTTTACGTGTTTCCAAATTTAAAATCACAGCATATTCAAAGTTTTCAGTGTACCTTTCAACATCTAAATATAACTAAAACGATAAAAACTTACCTTCAACACAAGGACGACGACAACCACGCGACCGGAGACGTCGCGACGAAATAAACAAACGGCGCCGCCAAATGAAAAATATTATCCGATATGGGTGATGTGAAATTGAGTCGCAATCATTTTGGGTAGTATGAAAAATGCTCTTTCCAACAGAACCCTAGTAAAAAACGTGAATGGACAAAAAATAACTTTTATTTCGACATAAATATTGGCCTGTTTTTAAGGCATCCTGGTATGCCGTAAGATTTCGACCTAGAAATTGGTGTTCCCCCAATCATTGAAGCTTGAGCAGTGAAAAATATGAAAGCCTAATCTGTTTTGCATCATTAGTGATTCTCCTAGGGTGTTGCCATTTCTCCCTAGGTGTTGCGAGTTGCTTTTGCAAAACGTGTTCCTGAAACGGCTCAATTTTTTGAGCCCTCAGCATTACGCCTATGGGAGCCTCTGACGTCACACGCTCAATTTTTTGAGCGCTCAATAATTTGAGCTTTTCCCCCTTGTGCGTGGGACTGATGTCTGGCACCATGACTTTCTAAACTCAAAGTATAGAACTATCATATGACAAAGTATCGTGACAGCGACCTGTCGACCAGCAGTTATGACATCGGCAGTCCCAGTTTACGGTGCCCTGTCACCACCGCATTCCATCCGGGACCCACCTGAGCTGAAGCGCGCCGTCAGGTCTCCGATCAGGTTGGGCCAGCGGGCGGGGAAGTCGCAGCGGCCGATCACCGAGATGGCGTCACTGAGCTGACGCTGCACCTGCTCCGGCGAGCGCAGCATCAGCTCCACGATCAGCTGGCGCACCGCGGCGCGGTCCTTCTCCGACACGTGACTGTTTCCGTCCTCATCCTGACGGTAGGTGGGAGCCATCACATGTCACGTGATTTACCGCAGACGACATATTGACTTATTAGTCATTCGGATAGCCCAAAGAAGCTGCTCCACCAAGGCCCTAAAACTACACACAATGGTAAGCAGTCTGTGAACGCGCAATCGTCGTCGGATACCGGAAGTACACAGTGTGACTAAAAACACAAGGGCGACATGGCAGATGGCACTCGTCCGTGCGTGCTAACGACGAAAAACTCGGCTATTTGCAGCAGCAACAGCAAAATGCAAATATGTGTAGGTAGTCCAGTATATCGGTAACAGTGGAAACAAGCTAAAATATCTCGTAGCTGTTCTCAGATTCGTTACAAACCCTGAGGTATACCTATCTACGCCACCGTCGTGACGCAGGGTTGATACGTACCGGCTTCCAGTTGCGTTTGACGAAGTTTTTGAAGGTGATGGCAGCGGAGATGCGGTAGGGCAGCTCCACGGCGTTATTATCCAGCAGGTTCAGCAGGAGCAGAGAGTAGTTCTCGTTCCGCTCGATCGACTCCAGAAACTTCTCCGCTGGAAATGGAAGGGCGATTGTCAGCCGGCGATGGTAAGCAGCCGTCTGATATATAAGGACGGGCTCCTTCACCACAAAGAAATGCCCAAAACAGACCACATTTATACCATCAGCTGAATCATAAATAAACAGTAATTTCGCATAAATCAGCTGTAGTTAGTGGCTTTGAGCAAATACAGCAATGGAATTTGGCCCAAGAATGTCTTTCTTGTACCAGCTGAAGCCAATTGTTGTAGTGTGAGTGAGCGTGTCCTGATAAATAAAGATAAACCTGCACCATGACTGACGGCATTCCGAGGGTTACTCCTACCGATAAGATAAGTGAATAACTAATCACAATCATCGGCCACGTCACCGGCTACAGCTGCAGTACCCGACGTCAGCCGGCGGTGGGCGGTGTGTCGATACTGTGAGCACGGTAAGCGATCGTCCCTCACTACAACAGAGACCAGCCAACACCATTACCGGCATGATCTGAGTGTGCCGGTCAGGGTCTCCCACTATTCCAGTAGTGGCCTCCCTGCCAGTGGTAGGTGAACAGTGTACCGGTAAGGGTCATGGGCAGACCAGGTGAGCGTATGCGATGTAACCTAGCGTTTGCCATGTGGTTAGCTTCAAAATGCTATTGAATGCTTTAGGACATCATTTGGAATGGTTTCCAAACATTCCACCAGGATATATCCATTAAAACCTAAGAAATACTTACAAAAATACACCTGTATAGCCACGTCTCAAGAGCGTCACGACTGTCTTTGCTCAGTAAATATAAAGAAAACATAATATAACCTGACCTTACCTTACCTATAACCAACCAACCAATAACCTACAGCCTACAGCTGTTGGTGGCAGGCGATGATAATTGTTATTTATCGTATTGTATATAAATATGGCAAGGATTAGTTCTTATCCATGACACACTTAGGTACTAAGAAGGTCTTCTATCATATTACGTCTATATTATAGGAGTCAAATGAACTTTGTTGTAGTTGTTTCCCTATTCTCACCGCAGACTAAAACAGCAACGCCTGACACCCTGCCGGAGGTGGTGAGGTGGGTATCCGAATGTACCGGTCAGTGGCCTGATCTCTCATGGTGAGCAGCTTGATTGACACTAACTGGCGACTTAATCCAGGTGTTCCGCTGCGCAGTTCAATCTCTGACCACCGAACACCAGATGAAGCCCTGTTGGTGGTTATATCCAAGGGTACCGCTCGGCAGCGAGCCACGTCCCGCCTCCAGTACCCTGTCGGAAATGTAGAGCCTGTGTTTTCTCTTACCTGGCCGACGGATGGCTGGGTCAGGTGACAGCGTCTGGCCCAGATAGGTGGCCAGCTGCTGCAGATTCTGTTCGTTCAGCTCCATCTGGTGAATCAAGAAAGCACCCACCACGTCAGCTAATAACACTGTGCTGTGGTGGAAAAAAGGTATTTGTTCAGAAAAGGTCAAATCTACAATTGTGGCGCTGCTGATACGTATATGCAACAGCAGAAATTGTAGATTGAAGGTTGTATGTTTTCATGTTGTAGACTGTGTTAGGTTGTAGGTTTGAAGGTTTTAGGCTGTAGGTTGGTAGGTTTGTAGGTTGGTAGGTTTGTTGGTTGCAGGTTTGTAGGTTGAAGGTTGGTAAGTTGTAGGTACCGAAGTAGGTAAGGCTAGGTCAGGTTTTATTGTTTTTTCTTTTATTTTCACCAAATATAAGAATCGTATCTGGATTCAGGATGTTAAATAGAGTAGGAATGTGCAAAATGTATGTCTTAAAACTCATCAATCAGGCTCTTTCTGAACATTTACTGGAGAAAATTTGGGCCACTGGCCAGGCACTGCTGAGCAGGGCTGCGGAGTCGATGGATTTTCGGCGACTCTGACTCCGACTCCGACTATAAAAACCAGCTCCGACTCCGACTCCGGGCAGCATTGTCGACTCCGACCGACTCCAACTCCCGACTCCGACTCCGCAGACCTAGCAGGGCTGCAGAGTCGACAGATTCTCGGTGCCTCCGACTCCGGCTCAGGTTTCTAAAATCGACTCCGACTCAGACTCCGGTCACAACTGTCGACTCCGACCGACTCCGACTCCGACTCCGCAGCCCTGCTGCTGAGTGCTGATTATATTGTAAAATGCAGCAAAACTAAATCAGAATGTCCAGCCTCAAACAATATTGATATGGGCCAATATTGATATGGCCAATATGATATGGCCTGACAATTCAATGGCAACAAACTCTGAACTCATGAGCCTAATCAAGGCTGCAGCTTTGGCTAGGCTAAAAGTCAAAGCTGCAGTTGCAGCACCAGCACCATAATGCAGCATGTCACCATGGCCGCTCACACTTCTTTCCACACTTCCTTACGATGGAAAATGAAGTCGCAGTCAGGTCAGGTCAGGGTGTCAGAGCCGGTGACCCAAGCCCTTTATTATATAGCCTTGCCCAAGGTTTATATAGCCTTGCCCAAGCCCAAGCCTCAAACTGAAACTCACTGGACTTACTGTTACGGCCAAGGCAGTATATACCGTTACGGCTTTCGACGATGACGACTGCGCTGCTTGGCGATCTTACTGTTAGTACAAACGGCAATGGGGATCTAAGACTCTAGATCCCAGTACCCAGTCACTGAAAGACTTGCTCCAAAATCAAATAACGTAATCAACTATCAACCGATCCAAGCAAGCTTCAACTTCAACTTTGACTTATTTGATTTCAAAATCGAAAAGAGCGACAAGGCGGGCGCACACTCGTGGGCCGCTTCGATGCGGTTACGTTCGTTGTCTATTAGTTTCGAGGAAAATTTAGCAATTTCTAAAGAAGTCCCTAGAAAGATTTTCAAATAAAAATAATATTTGAAGACTTCTCGATATTTCTTTAAAAATTTGTGAAATATTTGTGATCTCTCTAGATTGACATAAGAGAAGTGGCGCGACTGATACAAAATAAGCCGACGACGAGCGACGAAACTTGAAATTGAAATTTTAAATATACATCCCTACCCTTTCCGGAGATAAATGTAAGTTCAATTTGAAAATTAGGACTATGGGTAAGAAATAGACAGCATCAAAAATATGATAGAGATACAACTATTTCCACTTTCCTTTCAAGTTCAAGTTAAGGGCACTATTGAAGTCAATATTGATATCAAAACTGAAACTTATTTTTGCAGCCATGATCACCTAGGATCTATGCTTTGATTCAGTCACTTTTATGATTATTTTCTTTCTTTTTTTGGCATCTTTCAATTGAGGTTGATGAGGTAGTTCAGTTTTTTATGAAGACGTTATGAAAATGAAGTGCTTACGTAATGTCAATGTCTTTTCTTGCTACATTAACCCTGCTTTACGTGTTCCAGAGTTGCAGAATCTGTGCATGGTTTTAAGAGGGAAAAAAGCAAATCAAAAGCATGTCCAGTGGCATCCAAAGGAACTATGGATCACTTGAAGAAGATGAGATACTTTCTAGAGGTATGTGCAAGTATCTCAAGGCTGCCGTGTTTTTACCTACTGATTTCCATCCAAAACCAAAGATCTTAACTCACACACTTACTTATGAGTATATTTAGTCATAATTTGCTCAATTTTGTTTTTTCAAAGAATACTGAGGACATTTATCAATAATAGATACTAGACCATGTTTATGCATGCTGAAAGGTAGGTAGGTAGGTACCCAATATCTCTTTTGAAGTTCTTGTTTTGATAACAAAATAATGTCAGTAAGAGAATTTTCTATGATTCTTGTTAATGTCTCATATCTGAAAAGTGTCACAGCAGTAGGCTTACTGGCCACTGCAAATGATTCTGAATTCTGAAGACTGATGAGATGAAACTGAGTCATACTCATAACTAACTAAATGAATTGAATGTTTGAACCCATCTGGTTTGCCTGAAATAACTATGATCTAGAATTGACTATAGAATAGTTAAAACTAGTCAATAGCTTCTAGGCATTCAGTGCTTTTCAACCTAGTTTGAATCATTGAATGTTTTAAATAGACTGCTTGATAGAGCTAGAGTCCATGGTAAGCAGAGCTTGCTGCACAGGTTCTGGCCATCACCATCTGATCTTGCAATGCTGAATCGTCTGAAGGATTGAGCAGCCAAAGTGCAGCGTGTCCACATGGCCCGACACAGATCGTCCCTCTCGCCGACATCTAAAGTGGCTTTGGAGAACCAACCGCATCCCACCCACCCCCGTCTCGTATATCGAGCGTAAAGTGAATCGAGCCCGGGCGGTCAGTGATCACCACCGGGAATCAGATACTCTACCAACGTGGCTGCAAGATTACTTTACTAATAGCGTGGCTGGACATGAGATGGACAAACTGTCGCAGCTATTAACGGTGATACAGTGGCAATGTCGCACTGGTCGACGGTCACAGTGACGCCGACTTGGGATATGTCGTAGGAAGTGAAAGACCTAGGACAGCCAGTGTAACGACTGCAGCGGACCATGGATGGGTCGATGATCGATGAAGTGATCCGGTACAATCATCGAATCGCCGTGATGGAATCAACTCCGTCATCGAAACGTACGAGTATTCTGATAGTCTGGTTGTAGACAGGAGCTGATCTTACAGCACGATAACGCGTGATTTGCACATAAGTGGCCAGCTGGAACGTTTGCTGGGAGCAGGCGACTGGCACGCTCCAGCACAATGTTCAATCCGCTCCCGAGCTACGAGTGACGCCTAACTGGACCTGCTTTCAAGCGTCGGCTCATACAGCTTTTGTTCAACGAGACTGGTGTTGGATTAATGAGTATTGTGTCTGCAAGATATTTAGTTCATCTTCGTTTGCCCTATAGGGCCTCATGACGCTTTGTGACTGGTTCGGAAAAGCCACGATACTTTGGATGTGCCTTCAAATATGCTACGATTACGATTATGATCTGATTTCGATGGATTGTGTAGTCATTGCAGGGGTGGGGGGGCAGTCACGTGAGCAGGCATCCGGACCGCAAATCATCTTTAGCCAACGATTTGGCCTTTTAACGTGTCTACAAAGCTAAACGTAGTCCATCTCTTTATTAGTTTGTACTGGCTTCTGACTGCTGCTGCTCCCACCAACCGCAGCCAATCAGGAGTTTCGTAATTCGATCGCCGGTAATGCTCGTAATATAGAGCACTCGTCATCGGGAATCTGACGGTCTACCAGCATAGCTAGAATTACCCTCTCTTTGTTAATGACGTCACAACCCGGCATTTCGAAGGTTTGCTGGCTATAAAGATAACAACCCTTTTGCAAGCTTAGGCGCCCACCTTTAAATGGTGTTATTAGTTTCGTGATTTAGTGGTCCTTTGTTCTAACTGGTGGTCTTATGTCAAACCATCCAAATCAACACGATAAGGGGCTAGGGAGCTCGCGAGAAGGGAGAACAAGAGGAGAACAAACAACAACAGAGCACGAAGCTGTTGTACCCACATACTACTCGTCGGTGCATTTCCGGGTACCTACGCTCCTCGGGCGGGCCGCTCTGCCGCCCTAAGAGGGGAGCGACATTGACCGATTTCCCACCGCTCCATCGTTACCTACGGGCCGAGGTTTTATTGCCTCCGTGACGTCACGAGTTGGAGAGAACTCGAGTGCCGGTGGCGGGGCGCTCAGTCGACGCCGGGCGCCCGGATGACACGGTGGTGACGCGTGAGCGCTCAGTACTGACACGTGCGTCGTGACTGGTGGAGTGCCGCTGCCGCCGCAGGTCATGAAGTCTGGTGAGATACGTGTGTTCTATTTACGACCAGCTGGCGGGATTGGGGGACTCGCTCTTCCTCCCTCCCTCCCCAGCCGGTGATTACGTAATGGCCTACCTGGCCTTTCCCAGGTGTACCGGGAGGGAGGGCAAGCCTGTAAAACACCCGGGAGGGCACGGAGAGGAGTGCGTCTGTACTCAAACTGTCAGTCTGATCAGCGTGCGGTTGTACTCACTATGACTGAATCTTCCCTTGCTCTTACGAATTGGGTCACATGTAAGGAAGGTAAGGTAGCAAGGCTATTACCCTTTGGATCCCATCCCTATAGATATATCCGTTTGAGTGGCTCAATTGTCGAACGTTAGTAAGTTGATCCATCGTGGGTGAAGCCCAGATTTAAGTGGGCTCTGGTGGACTTCGAGCTCAATTGATGCTCCTGAAGAAAATGACTGGCAGATAGTGAAACTGCAGGTGCTCTTGCAGCTCATGCTGAACTCCAAATGGGACGGAAGGGTAATCAAAAATATTTCCATTGGACGATATGTGTGTGTCGGTACCCAATGCATCAGTTTAAAGCTCTGAAATCCATCCATTCAAAACACTCCGACTAAAACGTAACAATCATTGTTTGGCGGCGACTTCGCACGCTTAGCGGATCACGTTTCGGAGTGGTAGTATTATCGCTATCAGCGCATTGTCACGTGCCGCTCTCGATAGCAGCCACCTCGTTTAATTCGTGGGAGATGCCAGCTTAGTTGAATGAGATTAACAGTTCACTGGGATCGCAGCACGAGGCGAGACCGTGACAGATGGGACGCTGGCAGACCCTGGTCCGACAGGTCAGCTGGTCAGTTGACTTGGCCTCAGTCCAGATCAAACGTCAACCGCGTTGGCAGTCCGGTGGCTCGGTCTGGATTATGACTCCGTAGGACCGTGACAAGCAGGCCCACTGTCCTGGCACGGCCACGACAGACCCGCCTGCTAAGTAGGCATTTCTCGTTCAGATCGTAGCAGGCCCGCCCGCTGAGTTTTACATGCCATGGAAGACCGGCCCGCCGCTCTGACAGGTCGCCCGACGTCCGCTGATTCGTTAGGCAATAGGAGATTCGGGAGATTGGCCTGCTATGCTGGCCAACCCTCGCCAGACCGTCCTTTTTCCCGTCATAGGCATGGCAGGCCGTCCATGTTCCTGCCAGACCATGACAGACTGCCCGCTATTTTGGCCAGACCCCTACGGACCGGTCTGCCTATTTGATTGGACCACCCGCGACTCATATCACGGGGAACGATGCAGGGGCAAGGGAACGGTCAGCGGCCGGCAGCAAACTCAGGCGGGCTGGTTTTTATGCAGCCACCATGTTTTATGTTTTTTATGCAGTGTTGGTTGCGGTAGGCTGGAGTGACGCTTGGGGATTCTCATACTCTCATACTAATGATCATCGTGGCCATCAATGTATGGCCTCACCTAGCATGGCAGCCTACTCGTCTTCGCCAGAAGAAGAGGAGGCATCTCTTGAGTAAAGGGTCTAATTACTCGAAAGGGTACCTAATGACCTTTACTTAAGGTAAATACTTCAGGTAAATAGATTCCGTTCTGAGAACTACTTAGGCAACTTTGTTATGTAACAAATAAAAACAATCGGTAAAATACGGTGATTAATGACAGCCGTTTGTTTTTTAGGTAGTCGTTTTCTCATTAAATGTCTCTGAATGCTGCATGAAGATCATTTGAATTCAAAATAGCCTATGTCCGGGTGAAGTCTGGTCCCGAAAATGGAAATGCCGTCGTAGATGCATTCGGATACATACGGTCGCACAATCTCCATAGATAATATATCTTGTTTTTCTGGATAGCGGTGAAAGTGCGACTCTGGACAGAGGTCAATGCTGCTGGTGCTTCTCTGTCGTGTCTTCCTGTCTCGCAGACAGCACCTCGACCGCGGAGCGCCGGCTGACCAGTGTCCAGTATTGTTACCGTGCTGTACCTACCTACCCCAGCGTGTTTCAGCCCAGAAGTGTCAGCACATTGTGTTTTGCCCCGGCGCTATTATAACTATGTGTCCCTGTGTCTCACAGACGGCTCCTCGGCCGGGGAGCGCCGGCTGCCTCTGGCCGACCTGCTGCTGGTGTTGTTCGGGATCAGCAGCTGGGTGGCCGTGAACGGCGTCTGGGCAGAGCTGCCGCTACTGGTCGCCGCGCTACCCGAGGGCTGGGCGCTGCCCTCCTATCTCTCCGTGATTGTTCAGCTGGCCAACCTGGGCCCGGTGCTCTACTCGGTGTTGAGGGCGCGGCTGAACGGCCGGGCCAGCCGGCTGGATGTGGTGGCCGTGTATACTATGGTGACGGTGGGCGCCGCCGCCTGTCTGCTGTCTGGTCTGCTGTGGCGGCGCACGTCAGTTATAGGAGGCACGTCACACAGTACGGCGCTCTTTACCCTGGTGTTTTTTATCGCGCTGGTGGACTGCACCAGTAGTGTGGTATACGTGCCATATACCGCCCGCTTCAAACACGGCTACTTGGTGTCGTATATGATCGGCGAGGGCCTGAGCGGTCTGCTACCCAGCTTGGTGGCGCTCATACAGGGAGTCGGCGGCAACGCTGAGTGTGTCAACGGCACGGGTCCGAACGGCAGCGTGGTGCCGGTGCCGGCCGAGCTGCAGCCGCGGTTCGCCGTCGACGACTTCTTCTACTTCCTCTGCAGCATGATGGTGGTAAGCGGCGTGGCGTTCGCTCTGCTGCAGCACCTGCCGCGGCTGGCGCCGGCCCGGGAGCCGGCTGACGGCGCTGCGGCGGTCGGCGAGCCGGCGGCGGCGGCCGGCTGCCCGCTGCCGCCGCCCGGCCCGGCCACACCGGTGGCTCTGAGCGCCATGGCCCCTCTGCTGCTGCTTCAGGCCGCTATCAGTCTCCTGGCCAACGGTGTGCTGCCCAGTGTGCAGTCCTACTCGGTTCTGCCTTACGGTAACGTGGCCTTCCACCTGGTAGCCACGCTCTCTCTGATGGCCAACCCGGCCGCGTGCCTCGTACTGTACGCGGCGCCCGTGCGCCGGCCGGTGGTGGCCGCCGGCTGGGCGGCACTGGGCGGCCTCTGCGCCGTCTACCTACTGGTGACGGCAGCACTCAGTCCGACGCCACCTCTGCAGGGCACCGCCGCCGGGCAGGCTCTCGTGGTGAGTTTGAACGTGCATCTGTGATACCTGGCGCCGCGGAGCTGTGTATTGTGTAACCTGCCGGAACACAGTGTGTTATATAATAGCGTTTTATATAAGAAGTGCTTGATACGTCAGGTACTCATAACTCAGGACGGTGATTTCACGCAATCATTGTAAAGAGCATCATAAACATCTCTTTGGAGGAAACTACGCCGATGACTTCTTGAAGTCCGGGCGCCCTAAAACTGCATAAATTAAATTATATTTGCATATTGTCAGAATACTATGATATTGTATAAAAAGATATTCGTCACTCGTCAGAGACCCGATGTGACCCAATGTAATCCAGTGTGACCTGACGCGACCGCATGTGACGTTCGCAGGTGCTGGGCTGGGTGCTGTTTGTCGGCCTGACCACCTACTCCAAGGTGGGCATCGCCAGCCTGCTGCGGCCTTACGGCGGCCGGGCTCTGTTCTGGTACGGAGCGGCCACCCAGGCAGGCTCCACGCTCGGCGCTCTGGCCGCCTTCCTGGCAGTCAACGTGTTCGACGCCTTCCAGGGCTACTACCCCTGCTGACACGCCGCGCCAAGTAGGCCATCGTTATGTCACATGGTCTGAGGCTTCGGCGAATGTCTGCGGGAACCCTCCTAGTATCTGGGCTCTGGATACCGATAGGGCTATTTTAATGGTATGCATCCGAAGGCCCTGCTATTAATGGACAGGAGGCCTGTTAAATGCCATGCATACGGTGGTCCCCTGCAGTTAGTGTACCACGATCGGGCTGTTTTATTGGTATGCAATATTCAACCGAGAGCCCTACTTTTTCATCGACAGTGCTGGTTTTCATGTTACGGTCCCGTGTGTCCCATACCTTCCCCATTCACAGAGGCGCTATACAGTCAATGCTGAATATTGTCTGCTCCCACCCACCGGTGAAATATGTTCCTACGAGGTCGTCTTAACGCTACGAGGTCCGTTACGATGTCTGTTATTATTATCCGTGAATTGTCGCGCACGTTACCCAACACCACCCACCTAGATTGTCCTACATTACCACCGAGCTTTGTAGCAGGGATCAGATAGTTACCTACACTACCCAGTTTAGTGATGTCCCCACATGAATATTATATAGTACGAACTCACTTAGAAGGCGGGTTTGTGTCTTCAGTAGAACCGTTCAGTTAAACCGGCCCGAGCCTCTTTGTAATAAGGGAAGAAGAGAAACTCGTACAGCTTGTTGTATGCCTAGAGATAACTACATACATATGTGTTATGTATAAACTAGCCATGACATATTTTGCACTAACGTAGCAATTATTTTACGTAAGTTCAACGCCCCACAGTAAGCATACTTACCTGCATGTTTGCTGGTTGTTATGTGGAACTGTAGACACTGATATTACTTGTTGTTTAATAGTGGAAAAGATGTAATTCTGCTTATATGCATATGTTTGTTTACTATTTTAACTGCGTTTAATGACATTTTAAAATTTAGGTTTGAACGTATCACAGACCTAGAGTGCTTATTTATATTACATTTCCTGCTATTGAACTTTAGTGAGATCATTTATGGCATTGTTAACGTATTCTTTGTATCGTTGTTTATTTGTCTCGTTATTTTGTCGCAAGATTGATAGTCATTGCGAACGGTCAGTCAATATGACATATTTAACCTCGGATAAGCATTAGATTTAATAATTTCCCCAGGCTGTTAGTATATCTAGGCCAGTCGAACGTTGCATATCGGCTGACGAAAGTATGGAGTTTTAATTGTGACACATTATCAAACTGAACAGACATTTAGACTCAGGTAATACGGCTTTCCCGCATTGAACGCTTGCTACTATTTTACCCCTGCTACCACCATTGAGTTCATTCTGTAAAAGAGTGGATTGCTTCGCAATATGGAGTTATACCTAATAGGTGTGGACTGTGGAACCATCAGCTGTGGCATGGTGAGCAGTAGCTTTACGAATTATTTGCTTCTGCATCCATCCTGACCTTACTGACCTCTGGTGGTGCATTTGCTCAATTTCTAATGAAGGAAGATAGTCATCATCAGTGGCCTATCTCTCCCCTGACCCCCGGTCGCTTTGAAGTCCCGCCGTGAAACGAGCTGGCGTTTAAAAATAATCAAACTCCTCCTAGTTCTTGGAACAAGTGCATGAAGGCATGCAGACGAATGTATCACGTTACTGTTTACATTGAAGCAGCCCTAGTCCTCCCGGCTAATCAGGATAATTTGGTCAGTGTAAGACAAACATGTTCTGTAAATATTACTTACACCTCTTCCGGTTTCATCAGTAGTATAGCTGTGAAATCGGGCCACACCTTTCCGCGTGGAGTGATGTTGCTGTGTTTTATGTCTCCCTCACAAACACCAAGCACTACTGACCTATCGAACACTAGCCAGTGTTTGCGCTTTGTTTGGGCTGCTCGGCCCGCCTCTTGCCGCCGAGGCAAGAGGCGGGCCGAGGCATGTTCGAGTGATGTTTGGCGATGTTTGACTGTTGCTTCATATTCGAACGACGTTTGACTGACGCTCAAGCGGTGTCTCTCCCTCCCTCCGGGACCATCTCCCACCCTCCGCCCCTTGCTGTATCCGTGTGACGGCCCGTGAAGCGCCCGTCCCCGTGCGGCGGCATGTATCAGTGATAGACTCCCCGGTCAGTGATAGACTACCGTGCACGATGCGACCGCTCGACGTGACGACCGGCTCCTGTGCTAGCACACTCATAAACAGACTGATTATATTATCCACCGAGTGTAATGTATTCCTGGAGCGCCGCCACTCGCCCGCGACAGGACTCACGTCATAGGATCCACCCCGTCACGGCGACTAGTGTTGAGCTTTAGCGGTATCGCGTTCTGCCTGGAAGCGGTCTTTTATTAGCCGAGAATGACGATAGCGCTTTTGTAGCGGGAAGTGGCTCGTAGTGGTTCTTGGTATTGGCTTTCAGTTGAAGTCATTGGTCAGTTCAGGTGCAAGTCTAGTGTCAGTGTTCCTGCAATATCTGATGCAAGCGCGACCTTCGTGGTCATTGTATGTGAGCATGTGATTGCACAACTGTGTGAACGAGCCGTCTACATTACATGAGTAGTACATGAGCATATTGCTCCATTGTTCATGGATTATTGACAGTTCAAATGTGCTTCCTCTGGGACCACAATTGTGCTATAACTGCGTATAATATACTTACCATATACATACACTTGTTTTTATCATCTTTTTTTCCTCGGCAGTATGTCTCACGGGCCTTTACAGCGTTTCACCTTAGCAAAGCAGCCACACGGCGATTAATGGCACTGCGTCATAGACAAGATAGAGTGAAGCAAGATTGGCAAATCCAAAGCCAGCAGGAATTTGCTCAAGCAAAGAAATGGACGATTAATATAGACCTCCACAACCCTAATCCCCGGCAATGCTAGGGTTTCCTGACGGGGCACTCGAGATTTGATTAACAGTGGGCTGAACTTTATATACGACCCTCTAATAGATCAGCGGGGAGTAGGTAATCTTTCCACTTCACGTGGACTATTGATGTCAATTGTCAATCACTCCTCATCACATTGATACGCAAGTGCAGAAGTGTGGATGGATCCGATGAACTCAAAGAATCGCCCCGCGAAACGATTACATAAAGTCAAGGATAATGTAGAGTTAAATCAGCCACCGCACAGTGGATCATGGGTGTAGCGTGGAACCATCTCAGCGGCGGACCTAGCCCATGATAAGGGCGAGGGGAACCGCTAAAATACTCATTTCCTTTCACACACCGCCGTTCGCTCCTCCCCACCAGCGCGTATCCTCATGGCCCACTCCTATCCCCCACACCGGCAGTTACCGCTTAGAAACCTCCCCCTGCCTCCCCCACCCAGTCTCCCCTCCCCTCGCCGGTCATCAACCCTTTGAATCACCGGACGTCGGTGCGCCCCCAGCACCCCCCAGCTGCGGCAGTGTCCGGACGTACCTATCCGATACGACTGACTCTGCTGACTGTCCAACTCCCGCTCAGTGCTGACAGGATAGTCACCTGAGCGGCGTTCCCGTCTCGGCCACAGCGTTTCCGGTTCAATCACAAGTGACGAGATGTTCTAAGTGCACCGTTAACGTCTGCAGTTCGATTACCCCATGGCCTGTTGATCGGACTTCTTCCACACGAGCGGCACCTATGGGGACGTACTGTGCGAAAGTCCCATACATTAGCGTCGCCACGGGGGGCAAGCGGGGCAGCTTGCCCCCCCCCCCCAACCTCGGACCGGGCACCCCCTGAGATCGATACAGATCCGATGAGATTTTGGAGTCGGGGAAAAATGGGGGTACCTTTCTGAGGGATGCCTGTGAGGTCAGACTCTGTTGGAGCGTGCAGTTCAAACCAAAGTCAGAGTCGCAGTCGCCAAAATCTTCAAGACTCCGACTCCAGACTCGGAAATGTCAATGCCATGATTCATGACATGTTCCTAGTTGGTTCTGTATTACATTTTGTAGCTGATTTTCATAAATTTTGGAGTGCTGACACATAATTTTCGTTCAAAGCGTGACACGAAATCTTCGGGGCCTTTCTCAACTCTCGTCAAATGTCTGCGACAGGCACAAGTACCGTTCAAGTGCCGCAGGGCTCATGACCCTGCTTTTCACACAGGCTCCTAAGGAGCTCCACTGAGCTCTAAGAAGCTTTCGGAGGGCCCAAACCGGCCTCTGAGAGTCCCACTGGTGTCCATGTTCTCTAGAGGGCCCATACAGGGATCTTTGAGGACATTATACATACGTAGACCTCTGAAGGGCCACACGAATCTTTGAGGATGCCTTCAAAAATTTCTGAAAACCTCAACTGGCCTATGATAGTTCAGCCGAACTTTTGAGGCGACAGACTTTACTAGTTAAACCCCAACCCGGCATCTGAGGGGTCACAACTCACGTGTCCCTCTGAGGGCCGCAACACATGTTTCTTATGTCCCTAACAACGTAGGGTCCTTAAGGATTCGACACAGACCCCGACGGTTCACACTGTTATTCGAGGGCTCCAGTCTCACCCTGGGCCTAGTCTCTTAGCGCCCGCCGCCCACACTGGCTTCTGAAAGCTCGTGTGCCCTAAAGGGCTTTCCGGGCCCACCTTAGGCTCGGAAAGTCCTAAAGCACCACATACACGTAAATATTTGGGGTGACCCACGCCGATCTCCGGGATCCTAAGCAGGCTTCTGAGAGTCCACACTGACCCTCAGTGGCCTGAAATGGCCTGGAAGTCGCAATCCTATCTCTAAGGGATCCCTTGCCGCTATGCCGTGCGTAACTTTTGGTTCCGTTAAAGGTAGTGTGCCACCTTTGAAAGATTTCCCATTTTATTTTTCCTAGGATAAGAAGCTTCTGTTTTTACCTAATATCGCAAAAAAAATCAAAAATAGGCCTGGAATAGTGCTTTTTTTGCCTAAAAGTTTATCGGTTTTTCGATATGTATAACAACTGTAGTGGGCTCACCTGCAAACAGGCGTCGGCAACAAACGCGAATGCGGCGCACATGTGAAAATCAGCAAAGGTCATTATAGAGTTACGACGTACGGGAATGAGTTATCAGCTGTCTAATCGTAGACAACACAATGTCTGACTTAAACTGTAAGCCTGTATTGGTATTGTTTCTTTAATTTGGCTGTCGTACATTAATTTATGGTTTGAAATATGATTTTATGTAAAATAATTGATATAAAACAGCCGTCCCTTAAATTATGACCCCATTTCACCACACGAAAGTGGCAGAAATGACAATGATCAGCTGACGCATTTTTCTTGGCCGAAGTCAGAGCGCGCGGCCCGACGCACCACCACCGTACCACAAAGTATGAGCAGAAGCGGCGCCCAAAGCCAGGGCCCCGGTAACGTGAGGTAGCCGAGTCGGGGCAGCGTGCGCTGACCCAAGCCGGGGCCGCGGCTTTGGGCGCGGTCTACCGCATCCCCGCGGGCAGCCCCGGGCTATCACATGACACCGGGAGGACGCGCGGCCCCGGCTTGGGTCAGCGCACGCTGCCTCGACTCGGCTAACTCACGTTACCGGGGCCCTGGCTTTGGGCCCCGGCTAACTCGGCTAACTCACGTTACCGGGGCCCTGGCTTTGGGCGCGGTCTATTGCACCACCTAACAGGCGTGTTCGAAACCGCAGGAGATGATGATGAACGGGTTTATCGAAACTTGATTGGATGAGCCTATCGGTAATAGCGATTTTGGTGTGTGTATTTATTGTTCATAGTGGTGTGAAATGTGGTTGGGGTACGACCGACAACCCGTCGGTGCGAATTTCGCGCTGGGGTACTCAAAATTTGAAGAATTTAAGACGTTTCCATGAGTTTTGAAGGTATGGATGAGTTCTAAAAATCAGGTTCTCCTTATCCGGGTCATTAACTCCATATGGTCCAGGAAAGCTGGCACACTACCTTTAAATATTTTTGGTCGCGTTTGCAGCGCTTCCCTTCACTCGAAAAACCAGAAACTTTTTGTTCACACTCGAGTGAACAAAACACTTCTTCTCACTGCAGCAGGGATGAATGATGTACTTCCGATTCACACTTCCGACATTCTCTCTCAGTCTCCGCCGAATGCCCAATTCTTAGCTACAATCGGCGGCTGGGATAAGCCCTATGCATTTCACGTAAAACCTCGGCATGCATGCGTGAATGGAGGTTTTAGCGAGGTGATCCGATTCAAATGGAGCGTTTTTCACCTTCTTCTGGGTAATGATCATGAGCGACGAGAGTCTGCACAGGGGCCCTCTGCAGTGCGTCGGCAATCGCAGCCACTGTAATTCTAACGGTCGTTTTCGTCCAGAAATTTCAAAATTTTGATTTTTTTTTTGTAAAAAATACATGCTATAGCTAGAAGGAAAACTTTGTCACCATCGGATTCCTCGCACCATTGCGCGTCGAATGATATGTAAAACGAGTGAGTAACGGCTGGGGAAAGGCAAGATTTAACACAAAACTTGATTTTGCCCCCCAACCGAAAATGTCTGGCGACGCCTATGGTCCCATATCATATAAGGCGGGTCCGGATGTAAACTGTAAACCCAGCCGACACAGTCAGTCTACAAAAACGATTAAGAGAAAAATTAGAAAACGCACCCTCTTCTAACAAACGAAAACATCTCCGATCGGTCCATCTCGTTTATATTTTACGTCCGCGCTACGGGTCACCGAAAAACCTATATTTTTATTATGTAGCTATCAACAAGTGTGCAAATAAATAACACCAATCGAATGACACTCGAATGGTTCATCAGAGGCACACCAGACTCAACCCAGCCTCGGAACGCCGACACGCGCTCACTTTGTAGGTGTGCTGAGACTGGAGCAGCCGTGCTGGCGTCGCACATAAACCCAGAGCGCCGCTGATACCAGCGCGGCCAACAGCGCCGCCAGTGACACCAGTACGATGAAGAATGTAGTGAGCGAGGTGCACTGCGGACAGTGCAGGCCGTCTGAGGGCGTGTAGCGCACGCGCGAGGTGGCCAGCGGCGGCAGGTCTCCGTCGGGTAGGTCGGCAGCTTCCTCCGGGAGGCGAACCTCGATAGAGCGCACCAGGTTGACACGCTCGTCGGCCGGCTCGTCAGCCTGTCGTCGACGTCGACTGGCAGCCGCGTCACCCGATAGCGCTGCCCGCGGGTGGTAGCTTTCGCTGAAAGGGAAAAGTGCGGAGTGAGAAAGGATAGGCGGCGTGGGTGGCCGGGACAGATAGGGGCAAACGCCGTCCATAGATGGCGCTGAGTGTCGACGCCTGAAGGTAGGCTGTGCCGCACGGCCCTGGTTCGCCCGCGCGACTCCAGCTTACGGAGCGTTCACGGGCAATGATTGGAACGGGAGCCTTTCCATGAAACTTGGTTGGTATTTCATGAACAGTGGAATGACTAATTAAATCCAATTTATGATTTTTGTTGATGCAACCTCAAAGAAAACTGCTACAAAAGCGGGAAAAGTTCACTGTTCAAATATGTCAAACGTCCTCACCTGCAGGGTCTCAGTTCATGGCACTTTCTGTAGCAGACCTGGACGTTGCACTGTATTACCACCCGTGCACTGGTCGGGAAGCGGAACGCCTTGAAGAACGCGTACTGCGTCATCGACCGCTTGTTGTTGAAGTTGCCGGTCACCTGTGGAAAAAGGTAATCACTTTCTAACCGGGACGTGTGGTAGTGCAAATCACTTCTCAACGTCAGGAAATGTTATTTTTCGACTCTTGGCTTTGTAAAGACTTGACGTTAACAGGAAGTTTTGGTGCATCGGAGAATATAGACTGACTGATCAGTTTCTTTTTTGTAGAGCGAGAGTGCAGATAAGAACGGCTAAAGATTCTTCATAAATTGCACTTCACACATTTGTCCACGAAATCATAAGTTCAGTCATTTGGCATACCTTGTTGAAGTGTCCGAACACCTTGGGTTTGGCGGAGCAGCCCTGGTTGATGACCTCCATTTCTCCCGTGTAGCGTCTCTGCTGGATCAGCTGGGTGCCTCCGCCTCCACCGCCTCCTCCTCCGCCCGCCTGCGGTGTCAGCCACTCTATCCGGCGCTTCTCAGTCTCACCTGCTGACAGTCAGCAGTGGCTTGTCAGTGGGTGAAGTCGCAAGGTTATGTCACATTGTCAGATAGTCATAGTTCCTCTCGACCTCTCCACCGGGTCAGGTCACCATCTCAGGCAGTGAGTTCAGATCGCCAGCCATCTAGATTTGCCAGGCTGTCAGTAGGTCACCAACGTACGAGTAAGATTATCTCGGGTCAGTCCTGTTACGAGGGACAAAAATGACTGTTGCGTAGGACTGACGCAGTGAGCGATCGAATAATCGAAGATCTGGGCCCTAATAGTTCTCCGAAAGGTCTGCCAGCGTCTCGATATGAAGCCTAGACAACTGCTGCCTACTTATCTGCTTTCATTTTCCCACCGTCAGGCCATGCTGACTCATGAATTGTTTACATATGTGTCCCTCCTACTGCAAACTGCCCACGTTATAAAATGGCGTTATACTTTGAGTGGCTCTCTCGGCTGTTCGGTTCTATCTCGTATCGTGGAGCATATAAGCAGTCTGCAGTAGGAACTCCTCTACATCGGCGCACCTGCAGGGGGGCGACACCTGAACAGGGTAAAGGCACAGCCAGATGGCGTATAATTGGTGTCATTATGGTGGCGGTGAAGCAGACAGCGGCAATACGCCTTAAGCGTCCTGCGACAGCTGCGCTATGACGTATTAATGCACGTTACCATAACGTCGGTGGAGTGTCTAGTCATAGCCGCTCTTGCAATAAATCATGCAGAAACTAGGCTCTTCGAGACCCGGGACCATCGCCACACTGACTGAATAAACGTCTAAAAAATAACAGTTGATTTTACTAGGCAACGCCAACCTCTCGGCACCCTGGCATCCAACAACCCTCACGAGCCAGAGGACCGTCCCTGCGCCTTCCCTCTCAGTTCCCCCCCCCCCCCCCGCTGTCCCGATCACCCACCGTCCAGCGCCCAGCAGGTGAGCACGTTAGTGTCGAAGTCGAAGTGTTCGTCAGCAAGCGTGAAGACGAGCGTCAGGACCTGGCCGAGAAACACCGAGCCCTGCAGCTCCGGGGCGTTCGGCCCCTCACCCTTCTGAATCTCCATCCACATCTGGGGGCCTGCAGGACGGAAACGTATGGTGTTCGGTCAATTAGGTGGGGGTAGGGAGGTGTGACGAGGTCATTCCCCAGCCGTTTTTGAGATGTAGAAGCGGACCCCTCACGTGCGCACGTGCAATCGATCCACCCTACCTGTCACACATGACCATGCATCGCCAGGCTAGTGCCCCCTCTTCGATTCGACGTTCAGCCAAATCTAACAAAGCTGACAAAACTTTGCGCCAGTGTAGAGGCCCATAGATCGATGTCCTTACCTGGATGTGTGGAACTGACGAACGAGGCTGCCTCGTCCAGCGTGGACAGGTCGAAGCGGATCGTCTTGTTGTAGTCCTCGGGCCGATCACAGCGCACGATGATGGACGAGTCCCACTCCTCCACAATCTCACGGTCCCACTGGATCATCAGACGGTGCTGGAAGATTACACAGGAGCGTCACGGGGCAATCGACCCAAAGATAACTAGCAGCAAATGGCAGTTCAAATGGCACATCACTAGGGCTAAGCGCTTGACCAGCGGATTGCGATGTTTGGGACACACGTTTATCGCTGGCAAAAAGCACATGTCTCAACACCGGGATATCCTTTAAAAAGTCTGAGCCAGTGCTTTGATAGTACATAATAATACTAAAAGCCGACTTAAACGTTCACCCAGGGCACTAAAGAGTCACCTTATCTACAATGTAAGTTTAAATTGTTTTAAACTCATCCACCGGGGTGAACCTATCCAAATAGGCTCTGATCGAACTCCGTCCGTACCTCGATGACTGGTGCCAGCGTTCCGTCCGACTGGAGTCCGTTCTCATTAGCGCACGTGCCGTGACCGAGCAGCAGGCTGACGTGCGTCTCACCGTTACCCTCGTGCAGCAGACAGTTGTGAAAGTGGTTGTACGGGTAGATGATGCCGTGAAACGGTGCCGACATGCTGTGGAACATCGATGGTAAACGACAGTCTGATCGGACGGAAGACGTTCATAAAATATACGGTTTAAAATGTTCGGTGTAGAATACACCATTCGTCGGGATGAATGCAAAGTGACAGTTCATGATCGCTCTCCCAAACTCAGAAAATTCCCAAGTGCTGCTGAAGCATGAAACATTCACCGTACACTTCTATATGCTACTCATACATAGAATAATTAAGCAGTGTGAAATGCCGCATTTTTCACGTGGTCGGGAATGCGTATAATAAGCGATCAGCGGCTTACCTTAGATCGCCTTATACCGGGTGGCCCAGAAAAAACGTTCCGAACTTTGGAGGCCTATATATCAAATACGAGTACAAATAACGAGCAAAAATTTTCATCAAGTTTGCGTCAATTCTTTGCGCATCGGTATGCCAAATTATAACACTATACCATCATTTTCAAGCTGGCAATCTTGAGTTGAATTAAGCAAGACGTTTTTGCTTTTTTTGCCGATGTCAAACGATAGTGATGATTGGGTTAGACGTCCCATGTTATAAAAAATAATAAAAAATAGAGCACGTGAATGAAACCAACACGTATGTTTTCATTTTAAATATTTTTGTCTCACTTATGTGCCAAATATTCAAATACTGAGCCAAAATGGTGCTCATGAATGTCATTCGTTTCAACACCAAATCATGTTTCGAGCAGGAATGGCACGGTGCATGGATTACTGCTGATTACCCTCCTTTCAGTAGATCAAACAGTAAATCGACCGGATAAGGAAAACAAACTAAAGCAGACTGGTTCCTGTGCCAGAAGACCACAGAATAGCTTATGAAAAACAACATTGCCAGCAGATGACAAAAAAAAAAAAAACTGGGCGAAAAGCTACCTTTTCCCAGGAATGTCAGCCAGGAAAGCATTTGAGCCACAAGATGGTTAGAAAACTGGAAACTTCTTCCGATGCCGCTCGCACAGAGCCATCGTGGTTGCCTGCGGGAATGTGTCATCCTGAGACCCGAACCATCTATGAGACTAGCTGCCAGTAGAAGTCATGGCTCTAGGCCGCAGTGCCGCGGGGTGAAAGTGACCCGTTCACTCACATTTTTTAGTCAACATCGGAGCAAAAAAGTAATTTTTACATGGCATGCTTGAAACACGAACCGTTTAAAAAGTTATTTACCGAACACCATGAAAATCACACCATTTACTGAAAATGTGTGCCGCATTGACTATTCGAAGTTTCAATGTTGTATCTTTATCACTTTCTGAGAAATATTGATTTGAAGTTGGGAACGTTTTTTCTGGGCCACCCGATATTTCATGATGGACCGGTCACATATGACTGTCTCGGCTCACCTGAACTCGACTCGCATATTCCGGCTCTGGCAGGTGACTTCTGTGTCCACCACAGCCATGGGCATCGCGGGGCCGGCTCCGGCCTGCCCTGCGGGGCCGGGCACAGGTCCGTATCCCCCGGCTCCGGCTCCGGCCCCGGCACCAGCCCCTCCTCCCCCTCCGCTACCGCCGCCGCTGGCCCCTCCCCCGCCTCCGCCCCCGCCGGCCTGCGGAGGAGGTGGCGGAGGCCGCTGCTGCGCTTGGGGAGGCCTCTGCTGCGAGGGAGGCGGGGGCGGCAGCTGCTGCTGCGGAGGAAACTGGCCGCCCTGCTGCTGGGGCGGGGGCGGGGGCGGGTACGGCCGCGGCGGGGGCGGCGGCGGCGGCGGGTAGTAGGGCGACCGCGGCTCGGGCGCCTCCTCAGCTGCCTGGCCCCACACCAGAGGTAGGAGCACCAGCTGAGGAGTAGAGCCACACGGGATGAAATAACACACGCTATCAAGCAGTGCTGCTGGGGCTATTTTTCTCGCACTTTCGCTTCCCCAGCCCAAGTCTTCCCGATTTTCATAATTGGCCTATTCCTCTTATCGTAATGATTTGTAGCACCGTGGAAAAGGGGTATAAAACCATTACGAAATATGTCGTCTTATTGGAACTCTCTTCTAACGACAGGCTTTCAAAAGGCAAACATCGTACGATCGAAATGATACGCAAAAGTCCGTACACGATTTTGCGAATGTTTGTTTCTGAAATAATTATTGATGGACCATACAACGTGTATGTGGACTAATATCAATATGTAACACGTAACTATTTGCAAGGCTAAGACTTCTTCGAACCATTTTAAATTGACACATTGTTTTCACGATATTGATTTCACCAGATGAAATAATTAGTGACTTACCAGTGCGGCGATCCACGCGCGCGCCATCCTCAGTAGTCCGGACGCAGACCTGCCGCTCCGGCTCACAGCACTCCGCCGCGACCACTGCGGGCGGCGCGCCCGTGGCCCCGCGGGTCAGTCGCGGCTCTGACCCGTGACGTCACACGCCGCCCGAGGGCGCCGGTCGGGCCGGCCGGCAGGGGCGCGTCCAGCGGAGACCGGCCGGGCGGTGCACCCGGACTCATGTTGGTCACAGATAAGCAATTTTTAAAATATTTATTTTCACTTGGTAAGGCGTCAAATACCTCTTGCTGTCGTTTTTCGGTTTGATTGGGTTTTTGTTACGCTTATTTATACACTTTGCTTGAAAATTGTCAAACGAAGATTTTTAGTAGAATGTTTGACCGGGAATCAGCGGGATGACGCTGTAACCGCCCTGGCCGCGGAAAGTCTCGGCGGTGATAGGGAGGGGAAGAGGTCGGCTGGCGGTGGAAAGAGTCGGCTCTTGCGGCACTTCGAGAGTAGTCGGAGCACTGTGAAGAGTTATTTCGTCCTCTGCTATTACGTATAGGTATCCGTCGTCATATACCTACGGTATACATAGGTGTAAATCGGTTTTAGACGGTTTTATGGCTGCGTCAGTATCTACAATATTCCATCCATATGTTTTCCAATATTCTTTGCTATTATATCTTTTTGGGAAGAGTGCATAATCTGATCCAAAGCTTACTTGGTGGGCTTTTAAAATGGTCCCAAGGGTCATTCTGGTAAACCTGCTGTAACCAGTTTTATCGTTCCGCACCAGACTCCTGGGAGGTGACTTCAAGCTAGTAGACGGTCATCCGCGTTCCTTGGAAACAGTCGACGTGATCGATCCGCATTACCTGGCCAGCACTGCAACTGCATATATTATATAGGTATGTGGGTTTCTAGTTATATTCAGTCGTTCATTCATTGTATTCATTGTATTGTTCATTGCATGCTTTTGTAGGTATTCATTGTTTATTGTATGTTCCGTGTCCACTTCCAATAGTTGTCCGCTCCGCTTTGGGGAAACGTCTACGAGGATTGCTAGGAATCGATGTTCTCAGGCTTGTAACGGACTTTGTTCATTAGCATTCAGCTATCGATGACTGATGACGCATTTCAAACAACAGTTGGTGAGCTACATCATGATTACCCTCTATTTCTATAGCTCATTTGCATATGAAGTTTTAAACGTTTCTCTGACATCAAACTATCACAGATCGTCTAATTCGGTTTGTTTGTTTGTTTTGTTGGGTTAGGCCCTTTCGGTCGACAAGACCATTGCAGAGCCGGAAGGATGATAGGAATTAGGGGGAGACATTGGTCTGGGCAGGCACCCTAGTGAGTCGCCGGGGCTGAGCCCGTCCAGAGGACAGGCCACCCAGCCCCAAGGCACTCACTGCACCCGGCTACGAGGTGCGCTCCCTCAGGAGCAGCGGTGCCGCTCCAAGGGAGCAGCCCGCATGAGATAAAGTTGCCTGTCCAGCCCGGAGAGGGGTTGCGGCTTGGAGGAGAAGGATTTCAGTATCCTGAGGATAGAAGCACGGACAGGTCGTCTAATTCGGTCTATCACAGATCGTCCTACTCGCCCTATCGGTCTACTAACGATCCACTTACGATCACAGTCCACTACTAACAGATCCTGGCTCAACCCATTGACATCAAACGATCACAATTCACAAACCGCCCGTTTGGTCCGTTGACATTCAACCACGCACAGGTCGGCGCTGGCTAGGTCCGTTAACACTAGACCATCATGGATCACCTCTGACTCCTCTGTTGGCATCAGACCATCACGGCCCGCTCCCAGTCCGCTCCACTGTCTAGACTGGCGGCCAGTACGACCCGTGCGTCTGGTCCGGTGACTCCTGTCAGAGCCGGCGGCTGGCTGCGCGGGGGCCCGGGCCGCTGCAGTAGAGGTCGCGGCAGGTCGGAGGCCGGCCGCCGGCCGTAGTCCACCGACACCCTGCAGCAGCAGTAGCGCGCCAGGTTGCCGTACGACTCGCGGAAGTCCTCGCTGAACACGCTGTAGAGCAGGTTGAAGGCGGTGGCGTGCGCCAGCGGCAGCCGCAGTAGCCACTGGTGATGAGCCGCCTCCGCCGGCGGCAGGAGCCGCAGTGCCGCCGCCGGTAGCCAGCATACGCAAAAGGTCAGCCAGACGGCGGCGTTAGCCCTCACCAGCTGCACGTGCCACGGCATGGGCCGCGTGTGCCGGCCGTGGCACGTGCAGCGGCTCAGGTGGCGGGCGCGCCGCCACGTGAGCAGGTAGAGGGCGCCCGTGAGCAGGGTGACCGTCCCGCCGGTCCCCACCACCAGAGGGCCGGCCTCCTCTGCGTACCGCTCCTCCCTGGCCAGCAGCACGACACCGAACGTGGCTCCGCCGAGCGCCCAGACCAGCAGCAGGCCGGCGGCCACGCAGCGGCGGCCCACCAGCCGGCCGTGCAGCCGCCGGTGGCAGACGCGCACGTAGCTCTCCACGGCCACCGTGCAGAGGGCGAACAGACTGACGCAGCCGCACAGCTCCACCAGGTGCTCGTGGAGCCGCCGCGCCTGCAGCACGGGCACACAGGTCACGTACTGGTCACAGGGGCGATGGTCACATGGGTCACGAAGTAGCCACATAGTTCATCGTACTCGTCAAATCGCGACGTGCTGGTCTAACAGTGAGTGCTGGCCACTCTGCTCACGTGCTGGTCACAAAGGTCACGGACCGATTATACAGTTAGCGTATGTACTGGTCACACGGGTTATGTTTTGGTCGGCACGATCACAAGTTGGTCGGTGGTTACACAGGTTTCGTTCGTTTTAATCATTCGGGTCATGTAATGGCTAACTATTACTGGTTAAACGAATCACATATAGCAAAAATAGTCGCCCAGATAACGAGCCAACTGAACAGGTAACGTCCTAGTCACCTGAATGCTGAGCTCTGGATCGTGCCTACCTGGGGTGATACATCGGCGTCGGCCAGCACGTGAATCGCCAGAGACGGGAGGACACCCAGGGTGACGAGCAGCATCGTCACCGACACGCTGACCAGGAACGCGTTACCTGAGGCAGCGCAGGTGGAGGCATAAGTTGCGCACATATCCTGTTTTCGACCACGGGAGCATGTGCTTGATTTACGCATTTACAACCAGACATTTTAGAAATTACTGATGGCTCATTTCCGCAGAAAAGGTGTGTCTTCTGCTTACGGATGCATTGCAAAGTCGATCTTATATAGTGAAATTTTCAATCGAATTTACGCAGCGTATACAATAGCACATTGCACACTGCACAGAGTATAGCGTACATGCTTAATCTGTGCCTTTAGGTATAAATTTAACCGACCTGAATGTTAGCTAAGCTGACACAAAGAAGCCCGAGCCGAGCTTCTTACGGTAGGTATAGAACAGCGTCATATGCATTGCACAAAATTTATCTTCGCGATGGCCCAGTGGAATTAATCACACTCACCTTTCTTCCTGAGTCGGTCGCCGACCACGCAGGCCGCCACCGTGTACAGGTTCCCGAGGGTACCGAGAGTGGCCAACAAGATCAGGGCCACCAGGCGACCCAGACCCGCCACGCTGCTCGGTCCCGCCGCCGGCACATAGCCCGGGTAGCCGAACGGGACTGCTGGGAGGCCCAGCCGACCGCTGCGAGGTCCGAGCGGCGGACACAGGACAGCTGGGGACACAGGCTGGTCAGGACAGCTGCCAGTGGCGGACACATGTCAGATGCGGACACAGGACAGCTGGGGACACAGACAGGTCAGGACAGCTGCCAGTGGCGGACATAGGTCAGCTGCGGACACTGACAGGTCAGTCTCAGCCGATCGCTGCTGGGTCCGAGTGGCGGACACAGGACAGCTGAGGAGTGAGGACACAGGACAGCTTGGGACACAGACCGGACAGAACAGTGGCGGACCATGGACAGCTGGGGATAGAGACAGGACAGGACAACAAAGAGCTGTCACCTAACAGGACAGCTGTGGACACAGGCTGGTCACGACAGCTGCAAACACCGGTCAGTCATGGTACAGTGTCAATAGCAGATGAGCATAGGCCTGTCGGGCACAGGCCGGTCGGATTTGCTGCAAATGCATTCATACACCGGAAGATGAAAAAAGGAAAACAACTGAATAGCACCTGCATTGATAACATGAATCATGCATAGATTCATGCTGTCTATGCAATAAAATAGAAAACAATGCTGAAGAATAACGTTCATCCTTATCAACTATGACGCATTATCCCGACCTTTGCCAAGGCTCGATCGATACAGATTCGAGGGAACGTGAAAAGTTGGAGAAAGGCTTTTCTTTATAGAAAGACTCTGCCCCCTGGGCCACCAAGCTTCAAATCCTACCTACCTATATAGATTGCGACTCAGTGGCGCAGCCAGGATTTCGTTTCGGGGGGGTCATCGCCTCCAAAGCGGGCCCCCTAGTGTGCGGGCCCCCACCCATTTTTTTCAGAATCTTTCCATATTTCATACGCATTCTGCTGAGCGGGCCCCCTTTACCTACACGACAACCCTGAGCGAGTTTGATTCGGAAAATTTTGATAAAACAATAGCTCGGTAATCACCCGGTGTTCAATTTCTACGCGAATTGACCATGACAGAAATATGTTGCTATGAGGTATGAATTCGTATCTTTCGAGGCCGAAATGTGCCCCTTCCACAATATGCATAGCATATATGCAAACGGAGCTGTTGCCTGCTTCTATCGATCGGACAAGATTTAAGAAGTTCCATGTGCCTGTCCTAAGACTTAAGTCATCTATTGGCTGCTGTAGAAGATTGTGCCTTTATCCTTCTTCATTACGTGAATTCGCTCACAAGAAGTTTTTCGCGAATAACTCGCGTAAAAAGCGGCCGATCGCGACAACACATTGAGTACCCTCGCGTTTATCAGTTTTACACCTACCCTAGAAATTGCATGACCCTGACTCAAATGACCTTTGACCTGTGACCTACTTTCCGAGACATGTTTGGCCAGAATCGCGATTCGGCGTATGCCGGCTCGCATTAGCCGCGCGTTTGCAATCTTTTCGTGATTTCAAGCGTTCAAACATGTGAGTTGATGCTGCTCCCATGCATTAGGGTGGGTGTCAAGGTCACCTGAAGGTCAGGTCAGGTCATTGACCTATGATGACCTCGGTAATATTTCGAATTATACATGTTTCTAGGCTAGTTTTTGGAGCTGAATCCGAATTTAGCAGCCATTTGAATATTTACGAAGTAGTTTTGATGACTTCATAACATGTTACGAAGCTGTCAGAGGTGGTTGACACGTATTACGAATACGCGTCACGACGCCTACTGGTTGACCTGACCTGACCTGACCCGACCTGACCTAAATGCATAAAGACATCATCTGTGATCAAAACTAACATGTTAACTATTCGTGATCAGCACCCTGAAAAACCCTATAGCAGCCACACTTTACGACGTTCTAACAGGTCCCGATTTTCCCGATTTTTGGGTCATTGACCTGGCCTGGAAGGTCAACCAATGACCAAGAACCTTAAAATTGAGTATCATCGGCTTACTCTCGTCGCGGGCAACACGCTCGTTTTTTTTTCGCGAAGCTCTAGCTCGATCATGGGCCAAACGCGGGGGGGGGGCTCGTACCACCCTCCCCTTGTGCCGTCGAAGGACGCAAAATGACTCAGGAATGGCCTGTGCCGGCGAGGGTTAACGCGCTCATATGGGACATGTATTGCCTTGGGCCGGGTTTGTTGTGGTGTGGTGATGTGGTGACGTAGATTCTGTCTGCTATCGAGGTCCCGGCATGGTGTTACTTAGCGCGGGGTACAGGCCAGACCGTTGCACCTAGTGCGCTGAAATTTGCGCGATTTATAGATCAAGGATGGGCAACGTGTCTTTGAGGGTCTCAGCTCGATCGGATCGATAGCGAGCACATGGCGCGTGCTTAAAAAGTGGAAATTCGCGTCATAGACTTTACAATACATGCATAAATCGGCTTGCAAAATCGTGCGAAAATGGCTGAATTTGCCCGACACTGGTCCGGTCCCGTGCAGTATGGCTCGGTAACCGTGGGCCCGATCGGCACGGGGAACACAGTATCGTGTAGGGAATCGAACGGGCTATCGAATGGTGTGCGGTGCAGGGATGGCACGCGCATCGTGCACCCGTGAGGGCACTTATGCTGGAAAATTGACGTTTCGGACAGATTTGGGACTTAATGCTATTTTCGGGTGACCGTTTGACGGAGCGGGTTCTAACAACGCCTGTTGGCAAAAGAAATGCACAGCCTCGCATGGAAAAATTGTGAAAACCTAATTGATCAAAAACAAGGTGGAACAAACCGCTGGAGAAAATGGTATTTGTTAATGACTTATTTAATTACACAGGTTTTACTGCATAAACTGGTACGTTTGAGCGTTGAAAATGGCATAGTTGGAAAGAGCATTCAATTTTGTCCAAAATCCAACCATCGCTTTTGCATGACGAGCAGCAGTATTCTTAAAAATATAAATGTTTCAAACCTCTACATAGTAACTCATCGATGGCTTTCATTTTTCAATAACCTACGTCAACGTTTGTTATAAACTACACATGACATGGTATATAGCACGTATATAGTAGAACGCTTGCCTATCAGACACCAGTACCTCGATGCAATGGATATTTTTTCCTAAACCAAAATGCTTAGCCGTCAAAAAGCAATCGACCGAAATGGATACATAACCCACGAACACAAGACCAACCAAACGCCCACCGATCGAAAATACCCCTTATTCGCGTTGCGGAGCAAGCGGGTCACCCTAGCAGGCCCCATTCAACCGGGGACCCGGGCCATATACACACGGGGGCGCGGGCCCTATCCACACGGGGGCCCGGGCCACGTCCACCTGGGGCTCCGGGCCCCGTCTACCCGGGGCCCGTTCTCCCGGGGCCCCGGACCCATCCACGGGGGGCCCGGGGCCCGTTCTCCCGGGGCCCGGGGCCCGTTCTCCCGGGGCCCGGGGCCCGGGCCAGTTCTCCCGGGGGCCCGGGCCCGTTCTCCGGGAGGCCCGGGCCCGTTCTTCCGGGGACCCGGACCCATCCACGGAGGCCCGGGCCCCATCCACCCAGGGGGTCCGGGCCCGTTCTCCCAGGGGCCCGAGCCAGTTCTCCCGGGGGCCCGAGCCCCATCCAACCGGGGGTCCGGGCCCCGTCCACCCGGGGCCCGTTCTCCCGGGGCCCGGACCCATCCACGGGGGGCCCGGGGCCCGTTCTCCCGGGGGCCCGGGTCCGTTCTCCCGGGGGCCCGGGTCCGTTCTCCCGAGGGCCCGGGCCCGTTCTCCCGAGGGCCCGGGCCAGTTCTCCCAGGGGCCTGGGCCCGTTCTCCGGGAGGCCCGGGCCCGTTCTCCCGGAGACCCGGACCCATCCACGGGGGCCCGGGCCCCATCCACCCAGGGGGTCCGGGCCCGTTCTCCCAGGGGCCCGAGCCAGTTCTCCCGGGGGCCCGGGCCCCATCCAACGGGCCCCGTCCACCCGGGGCCCGTTCTCCTGAGGCCCCGAACCCATCCACGGGGGGCCCGGGCCCGTTCTCCAAGGGGCCCGGGCCAGTTCTCCCGGGGCCCGGGCCCGTTCTCCCGGGGGCCTGGGCCCCATCCAACCGGGGGCCCGGGCCCCGTCCACCCGGGGCCCGGGGCCTGTTCTCCCGGGGCCCGGACCCATCCACGGGGAGACCCGGGCCCCATCCACTCAGGGGGCCCGGGCCCATTCTCCCAGGGGCCGGGGCCAGTTCTCTCGTCCGGTTAGATTAAGACCTCTCTCTCTCTCTCTCTCTCTCTCTCTCTCTCTCTCTCTCTCTCTCTCTCTCTCTCTCTCTCTCTCCTCTCTCTCTCTCTCTCTCTCTCTCTCTCTCTCTCTCTCTCTCTCTCTCTCTCTCTCTCTCTCTCTCTCTCTCTCTCTCTCTCTCTCTCTCTCTCTCTCTCTCTCTCTCTCTCTCTCTCTCTCTCTCCTCTCTCTCTCTCTCTCTCTCTCTCTCTCTCTCTCTCTCTCTCTCTCTCTCTCTCTCTCTCTCTCTCTCTCTCTCTCTCTCTCTCTCTCTCTCTCTCTCTCTCTCTCTCTCTCTCTCTCTCTCTCTCTCTCTCTCTCTCTCTCTCTCTCTCTCTCTCTCTCTCTCTCTCTCTCTCTCTCTCTCTCTCTCTCTCTCTCTCTCTCTCTCTCTCTCTCTCTCTCTCTCTCTCTCTCTCTCTCTCTCTCTCTCTCTCTCTCTCTCTCTCTCTGTCTCTCTCTCTCTCTCTCTCTCTCTCTCTCTCTCTCTCTCTCTCTCTCTCTCTCTCTCTCTCTCTCTCTCTCTCTCTCTCTCTCTCTCTCTCTCTCTCTCTCTCTCTCTCTCTCTCTCTCTCTCTCTCTCTCTCTCTCTCTCTCTCTCTCTCTCTCTCTCTCTCTCTCTCTCTCTCTCTCTCTCTCTCTCTCTCTCTCTCTCTCTCTCTCTCTCGAGCGGGCCCCTGACAGAAATTTCGGGGGGGTCAGCTGACCCTCTGACCCCCCCCCCCCCTTGCTGCGCCACTGGATTGCGTTCGAATTTCATGAAAATTAATACCTAATTGTGCTTCGATCATTTTACCTAATCATAATCATATCAATCCCATCATAGTTCCGTCTCTAAGATTATAGAGACAATTGATTGCCCAACATACTGGCGTGATTACACCCCTAGGTATCGTTGCAGCCATTTGGCCGCAATTGCGATTGGAACCTTACGTGCGCGTAATTGGGTCACTCTCCCCTATATAGTTTTCACAGGTCATCGCAGCTGAAGTTTTCCCCAATGTTACTTGCATACATGGTCCGTGGCACATGCTTTAATAAATCGCTTTGCATCGCATGGACTAATTAAGCGAAATAAAAACAAAACACTAATTAGCTCATCAGGCTGTTATCAAAATAGCCGTTAGTTCGCCAAATTCCTTTCTCATCAACGGTTTTCTTCCGGATGGCAAACATTTAACAAAAAAAATGTTTAGGAAACAGCATTGGCATAAAAACATTTGAATAAATGGTTTTATCAAGATTTCCATAAATGTGTACCTACGCCTTACACAACAAGCACTTCAATAGGTAGCTGGCACATGCCGATCTATCGACATCTGTTGAACGTTCCAAATGTCAAACTTGAGCTGTATGTTACTTCTCGGTAGATTTACTTTTCAGATTCCGGCGAGCCAACTGGTACGGCCATTCCCATTATTTTATTTAAAGAGGTTGCGATAATTAGCGTTTCGATCTGCATGCCTTAATGCCGAGTTTTTACTGCTTATTCGTTCGCTTTCGGTATTGGACTTTCGCAATCATACCGGCCTTGTTAATTTTGTAGACGTTATCGTAATCACTGACCATGCTGAGCATTATGCTTCTTCTTTAAGTTTTAGCCAAAGCGATTCGGTTAACCCGCGCCCCGCTGGGGTCTGCCGAGCAACGCGCCCTGCTGGGGGGAGGGGGAGCTAATTTGACCCCCTCCGATGACGTCACAGGGCAGGTCAAATGTCGAATTTTCACCGTTTACAGGCATTTCAAGAAATGCGTTGTAAAATCGAGTAAAATGCATTTCATTGAAAATCATCGATGGGGAAATGATCGTCAAACACATAGTCATATTTTGCTATCTGAGGTCACTGATACCAGGGCAGGTCACAGAGGTCAGGTCACTGAGGGTCACAATATGAAAATATCATGTGATGCATGTTTTATGGTCCATTTTATATGCCAAATACGATTATGTGGGTCAGACAGCCTTTGGGGTCAGTTTAGATTATGTTCCGGTGAAGGTCAGGTCAATGCCAGATCAAATTAGGTTAAATTTCAAAGTTGATATTTTTGCATAAAATGGGTATCGATTCGATGCAGCTCGTCACGGGGAGTTCAATGGTGGTTTTTGTTTTGCGCTACGTGGTCTAGAATTGCAAAAAAATGAGTTCTAAAATATGACGTCACCAATTTTGAACAGTTTTTTCGCTATAACTTGGCCAAAAAAGGAGATATCAATCTAAAATTTGGTATGTATATAGAAGAGCGCAGTGACTATCACATGTATTCCGTTTTTTCGAAATTCGGAAAAATTGGATTTTTTTGCGTTAAATAAACAATTTTTTGAATTTTTGGGGGTCAAAATCCCAAAGTTTCGAAACTCCGAGATGGCAGTTTGTAGCGCTGTCTTTTGTCTACATGATCATGTAAAGAGCTTTGAAATTGTTTGATAACTGTAGCTTTTGTGGGCGTTTTAAGATTTCATGTTTTTCGCTCATTTTCGCTCGAACATGACCTCAGTTTGACCTCAATAACTCCTGACCTAAGGTGACCTAAGACTTGAAATTGTGTGTGAAGGTGTCAAATTAATGCCCGGGAAGGTACTAAGAATTTGGCGGTGCTGCCGCCGTTTTCTTGCTATTCAGGAAAACCCACAGGGGGGCAAATTGCCCCCCCCCCCAGCGGAGTGAGGGTTAAAAAAAACAATACCTAAATGATGTTTGGGTTTGCTTTTGCGTCAACTTATGTAATTTTATCAATTTTATGACCGTTGTTTATCAACATTATTTTGACATCGGTAAATAAGAGCGGATAAATTAAATCATCTGCCGAACCCTATGAAGTTTGAGGTTGATGGGATTAATAAATCGTTTTGAGGTGACAGCTAAAATTGATTCGCTCCGGTGTTTGTTACGAGAAATACATACACTTGCCTATTTGACAAAGACGCTGGTCACCGACACGATCTTCAGAGCTGCTTCAGAGTAATGCATTGTCGTTTAAAGTTTCGATAAATTGTCTTCAATCGACATCAGCGATCGTTTGCCGAGATCTTTCGTCCTTCTGAGGGACGTAAAAACAATTCAACATTACAATGGTACGTGTCAGAAAACTCAGAAAAGCCAGCTTGCATTTATGGTAAAGCGAATGATTATATGAAATATCAAAGAGATGCCACCAGTGTTTTACAATTTGCTTTATCTGGATATGTATGCTTTTAATTAGTTTAACGTTTCTTCGGCTCATTTCTGTAACATTCTTCCGCCGTGCCCTCCGCTCATCTACATTCACTTGGCTCATTTGTGGCCTATCGGCCGCCCTTTGGCCGCGGGCCGCCTCTCTCCATCTCCGTGCACGGCATATGGCCCGGCGGCGCGGCGGGTGCAGCTGGCACGCACCCAGTCGCCGCCGGCCCACCGCGCACCCATGAATAATCGTCGACACCGTCTCATCACTGTGGCCCGGCGGCGGCCGCTGCCAGGCCGGACGACGGATCGCCGGTGTCGCTTCCGCCGGCGCCGTTACTCAGCCTGCGTCGATCGGGCCGGAGCACCAGCTGGGGTCACAGCCGGGACTACATAAATAGTGACCCCTGGTTCCCCGCGACCCTCACCAGCTGGGGTCACAGCCGGGACTATATAAATAGTGACCCCTGGTTCCTCGCGACCCTCACCAGCTGGGGTCACAGCCGGGACTACATTAATAGGTAGTGACCCCTGGTTCCTCGCGACCCTCACCAGCTGGGGTCACAGCCGGGCCCGGGACTACATAAATAGTGACCCCTGGTTCCCCGCGACCCTCACCAGCTGGGGCCACAGCCGGGGCTAAATAGTGACCCCTGGATTCCAGGCTGGCTCTCGCTAGCCGGGGGCATACACCCGTGCTTCGATGAGTCATCTGCATTATCCCACCTAGTTTCATCAGCGGTGGGACCGCAGCCCTACAGGACTAGGATCATAAGAGTTTTTCGTCAATAATTCCCGATCAAATTGAGCTAGCGAGTCGGGAAAGCCACCAATGGACTCAGGAAGACCTGCCGGATCGAATGATATGCAATATGATCTCCTTCGACCAGCTTCGTGACCTGGGGGACTCTGACCTGACCTTGATCCGAGGTCAACACCTCAAGTTGATCTCACTCGAACAAAAAGTATACCATTCGACGCGCCTGAGAGAGGCGAGCACAATTATGCCAAAATCGTAGCGCTGCGACCGTTTTTACGAAGCTATTTATCAAATATATGTCGCTCTAGCTCCATCAGGGGCGATACAGCGACGGGGGTCGTACCCCCCCCCCCTCTCGGCCGGAGCGTGTGTAGAAAACCTGGCTGGCGAGGGTTAACTCGCGCCCCGCTGGGGGGCCTCCCGTTTTTCGCCAATAACTTCGAAACGCGTTACGCCAGCAACGTCAAACGTTCAGTCAAAGATAACAGTAGTACTGTGTAGTAGTACTACTGTTATCTGTGGTTCAGTACATTATCATACATCAATTTAACACGTTCCCTGAAAATTTGAGCGAGATCCGTTGGAGAACTTTTGATAAAATGACATTTTAATGACGTCATGTTCGCCATTTTCGCCTCAAAAACGGCAAAATTTCAAACGCCGCTAACATCTTCATTTTTAAATGAATCTAATTTGCCTATCAATTGGCTGTCTCGGTTTTTTTAAACTGTTGGGTTTTGGCCTAAATTTTTTCTTCTTTGGGAAATTAATTATAAAATCCAAAATTTTGAGTGTATCAAAAAACGGAATATATGTTAGAGAAGTGGTCTATGTGCACCTACATACCCATTTTTAAAAGAATTGGCTAAAAAATATGGGAGTTATTTAAAAAATTTATGACGTCACGACACACAAAGTTTTTGAAAAAAAAAAAGATTTTTTTAGTCCTAGACCTCGTACGAAAACCAAAATAGCACCATTCGATTCGCCGTGAAAAACTGCATCAGATAAACACCTTTTTAGGCCTTAACAACCAACTTCAAAATTTGACCTCATTTGACCTGACCTTGACCTGACCTCGACCTGACATTTATCCAGAGATGTTCCATATCACTTATTGAGTGTGCCTATTGAATTCTATGAATAAAATGACCCATAAAACATGTGTCGCACATGCCCTTTTCTATATTTTGTTTCTGGTGACCTGACCTGACCTGACCTGACCTTGACCTTGACCTTTGAATGATATTGTATGCAACGAATATTGTCTTGGTAGCCTAAGAACACGTTTTGGGCGATCAGTCTCAGTCCATTCTTCGGCGACTACGGTGCAAGGCCGATACTGTAGAAACTTGCATTTTGTACCCTTGACCTGACCTTGACCTGAACTCTGACCTACTTAAGCAAAACAAATTGGGCTCTTAAGATCCGCCTTGTTGAGAGCTTTCGATTGCCGTTTTCCCCGTCTTTCTACGACCATCGGTTCGGAAGTTAGACAGGGGGGGCAGAATCTGCCCCTCCCCCCAGCAGGGCGCGTATGGCTGAATAGTGAATAGCCCAGCGGGGCGCGGGTTAAAGGTCAGTAGCTGTTTATAAGCCCCATCATATGGCGGTCCAGCGAATGACGCACCCATCTAGCGCTACAAGTAAACAGCTCGGTGCTCTCTCTGCTGCGGGTGTGTGGATTAGTTGAGCGTAATGTTGGCCGCCGGGCAGTGGCTAATCAACCTCGACCGGAGAAACACAGTTCAGCTGTGGTGCAGCAAGACCAGACAACGACCCTGAACGTCTGCAGTGAGTGGTGACCGATGGCCGTCGGACAGATTGTTTGGCTGCTTTTACTATTGGCCACTGATGCCGCTCTGACTGATCAGGAGCCTTGCACTGCTGATCAGCAGCTGTCACAGCTTCTCGAGCCGCTGGTGGAACGGGCGGTGGAGCGAGCTGTGGAACGAGCGGTGGAACGAGCGGTGGAACGAGCGGTGGAACGAGCTGTGGAAGGCGTGGTTGAACGAGCCGTCGAAGAGTCTGCAGAGAGAACACTAACAAATGTTCTGAACAAAGCCTTGATAGACGGTCTGGAAAATGTCACACAGAGTTATCTGTCGAACGAGGCCATCTCTACACCGCATGGCAAAGTACGCCAGCTGATGGTCGCGGAGCCGGAGCCGGAGGTGACGTGTGACAGGTCCCCCCGGCCGCTGCCGGCGGACCAGGCCAAGCCACAACCAGCGACCGGAAAAACTCGCCTGCGCCCGCTCCTGTCAGCAGCTGCGCAGCCAGGGCGGCTCTCCACAGGACGGCGTCTACTGGTTCACCGGGATGCCGGTGCCGGTGCTGTGCGACTTCAGCCACGACGGCGGCGGCTGGACGCTGCTGCTGACGGCCAAATCCCGCGACGGCTGGAACCTGCTCAGTGTGCGCGGCCGGCGGGAGCGCTCTCCGTCTCTGGACGACAACTACTCGATCCTGCGGCACGCCAATGCCATCCGAGACCTGGGCAACGGCACCCGGTTCGCCTACCGGATCGAGACGCAGGCGGAGAAGGGCCGCCAGCGCTGGGGCGGCGTCTGGTTCGCCCCTCGATCTTACAGCTTCGTTCGCGAGGCTCCTGACCAGACACACGTTTTCCTGGTGAAGAGGTTTGA